TGAACCAGCGTCCCGGCCACGAAGGCAACTCGATCCAGGTTTTAGTCCTAATGTCCAGCCGCTCGTAATTTTTCATCATGGGATACCCTCCGATGACGTGGAGGCAGGAATCCAGAAACACCGACGAGGCCGCTTCTCGCTTATTATTCATGTTCGGTGACTGGATCCACTTCCACGATTCCAGATCAAACCGATGCGAGGACGACGATTGCCGGTTGGGAGAATTTAGGATCCGTCCGCCGCAGACGAAGATGGAGTTCATTCCAACGGTGGACGTTGGCCAGAGGACTTCCTCGGTTGGTGGAGGTCCCGTTTCCCAAACTTTATCATCCAGATCGAGCACTTTCATCTCTCCGCGGCCGGTCAAAAACAGCTTCCTGGCCATGGCAGAGAAAGATTCCTCAAAATTCACTTTGTATTGCCATGGATACGAAGAAATGTCAAGAGAAGACCAGTCGTTAGGATCGATCGACGTTATCTTCGCCCCGCTCGTACTTTCTCCCACGCACCAGAATAAGCGAAAACATCTGTAGAAGTCGGATCCTCTGGCCTTGGTCTTTTCCACTGGGACTGTGTCCTTCAATTCCGGAATGTGGAAATCCTTCGCTTCCAACGCGAGGGTTCGGCACTGCGGATTTTCCATCATCGCCGGGTCGAGCATCACGTTCTGGTGCAGATACCGTAATGGCAATAATGGAAGTCTCACCTCGTTCAAAAGTTCCGGAAGGTGTCCTTTACGTGAAGGGTCGTGGTTTAACCATTTATTCACCGATTCGTAAACGTCAACTTCCGAAGCCACTTCCAGATCGTCTCTTTTTAGCAACGGCTTCAGCGTGTCGACGGATATCGAGAGGAAGTCAGAGGTGTATATTATTTCTCGATACCTGTGAGCGATGAAGTCTCGAGCCGCGTCTTCCAACGCTTTCATCTGCAGCTTCTTCCCCACCGAGAGCAAACCGAAGACATTCCCGGGTCTTAGCATCTTCTTCGACTTTTCGGCATATTCCTCGCAGAGAAGATGAATCTCGAGTCGATGCGAATCCTCGAGGACGGCCAGGACGATATCCTCGTCGTCTGTTCCGTATCTCTCGTCGTAGATGAAGTCCCAGATGACCCGGAACCCCTTCACCGAGACCCCTTCCAGGGGAAATAGCTTCTCCTGAGATCCCTTCTTCCGGGAAAGGAACATCCTTTTCAAGACGGGCGAGGCGGAACCGAGAACGAAGCGGCTTCCATAGAAGGAGACGTCTTCCACCTGGATGATGACGTCGCAGAGGTCGTTTTGCTCTCTGGAGTTCTGGGCGAGGCCTTTCGCGAGGATGCGATATTGCTCCTCGGTTTTCGTGCGCTTGGCGTCATTTTTCTCTGTTTCCACCATCACTAATGTGGAATCGATCACAGCGTGAAAGAAGCGACGTGCAGCTCGAACAAGAGGCGCTACAGCTGGTTTCAGGCACGATACTGATACGGAAAAAATCCACTGAGCCTGAGCCTGAGTTGGAGATATTATGCGCCCTTCAGATAGCTGTGAGTTCCCCTTTTTCATCCGGAATTCCATTTTTATCCGTTGGGCTTCAATGCATTTCGCTTTTCGTCTACAAGCCACAGCATTCACTTCATCCCCAGAAACCATGTAACGTGATTGGTGTCAGGCCTCGTTCTTGTGGATCACACCTTTTTCTCATTTCTTTTGCGATTCCAGTATTCTTTTTTCTGAGTGGAAGAGATGACCGGTCAGACGAAGAAAATTTATAAAAAGCTATTAATGTAAGAGAAATTGAACGTTTTCCATCTGCAAGGAGGACGGACCGAGTCCGACATCGTGCTGCAATCAGAGAGACCGGTGTGCAGAGTAGAGTAGCTATAAACTTTATTCAGAGTGTTTTTTGTGTGACATAACTGACAACAGCCACTACACAACGAGAAGCTGAAAGAAATTATATCCCTCAAAGTAAAACAGAGTCGAACGCAACAATGAGAAAACTCTGAAAAGCAATGAATCAACCACCAGAAAGTTGTCACCGTAACGTAATATGATCTCTTTGATAGTCAAGAAGCATAAAGAAAAGCAGGATTGAAACAAAAGCAAAAAAAGCAAAGCATGAAGTGAAAGATTTAAGCATTAGAAAGAGGGTTCCATCAGATCTGCTGCGAGAGGAGCCAGACGCGGATGGGGGACGCCGAGATCGGCTTCACCGGACCACCCTTGAGCCAGTTGCGATTCCCACGCGATTGCATGTAGGATCTCAGCATATCCTTCATCGCCAGTTGCACGACCATGCCTTCCTTGGCATCGCCCTGTTTCACCTCCTCTTGCTTGGCCTCTCCCTCTTTCGCATCATCTCCTTTGGCCTCATCTTGTTCCGCCTCGTCTTTCCCCGTCAGTCGCCAACTCCACTCCGCATTGCGTTCCTTCTTGGTGTCGTTGACGCAACGCACTTCGCATTGCGGTGCGCCAGGTCTCAGCAACCAGTTGTTCAGGTTCGGTTTTGCAGCCGCTTCCTGGACCACCTGGGCATCCGATTTCATCTCCTGGGTCTCTCTGAGCGAACGACGAAGGAGCCAGGAATGCGAGCCATCCTTCTGCAGGGCCTCCAGCTTCACGCGGAAATCCTTCCCCGAAGCCGGCAGCTCGACGCATCGCTCCTGCGTTTTGAGGAGCCATATGTCGTGGGTCTTCTTGCTCAGAGCCTGTCGGATGCAGTGGCGCTCCTCGCCCATGCAGCATTCCTCCAACTTGTTGCACTTCTCGCCTAAGTTTTGACAAAACGAGTGCAAGATTGCACACTCCGAGCTCTCCTGCAGGCAGTTGATGGTATCCAAGTTCTCAATCTCCACCTCCTCTGGTGGGGATGCGCAATTGCATGCATAGCCCTGTACAGAGGGATGAGAAAACAGTATGTTCAGCCTATACAAATGTGTATATAATCTCTGTCATTTCCGAATTTTTTATAGCAGTTTTCATAAGCTATGCACATTCCATTGTACTCCATTCCATCTCTGCCAAGTTGTTCCATTCAAGCCACTATTGAAACACTACACTCTAACCCACTTCAGGCATAGTCAAAGAGAAAAATATTTTGTGCAATATAAAAATGGCCTCCTTAAACGGAAAAAGGCAGTGTAAGCCTGACTTCCAGAAAGATCAGGAAGTCAGGCTTATACTACATCTGAGTGAATGACCACAATTACCTAATGGGTAGAACTGGTAACTTGCAATGTACAGGTCAAGTTTCCATTGATTACACATTCACACCTCACAATACATGAAACACTATGGATGAGGAGTGACTGGCAGGTGATCACACAATCACATTATATGGATATCCTTATGTGGATTCTTTAAGGATATCAGTTCATTCTCCTGTTACTCATTATTGAAATTCAACTGCTATAGTCAACATGTATTATTATACAGGTCATGACTTGAAGGATAACAAGGGAATGATGCTCTGCGCAATCCTTGAAGTAAACGACCTCTCCTGGGTCAATACACGTGTCAAAAACGACTGATATCGAGGCTATGTACTCATGCTGAACTAAATTTGGAGAAATATTTATTACATTACTATAAACTCAGAAGTTTGTAGTAATGTAGCCCACCTCCATACTCACATTGAGTGCATAAGGAGATCAACACCTACTACCAGAGAAGGAATAGTCCAATTACACTTACTTTCACATGAATACTTGAAATATTAATCAGTGGGTCCTGAATTAATTAGAAGAGTGAAAATTGAGTTCTGACAGGAAAAAAATGGTGAGCTATATAGTGGTTGTATCCTATCCTATACACAATGGAGTAGTGAATACTATGCACTGACACAAATAGAATATATTAATGAATGAAAATGTATTGATTATTGATAATAATATTGAATGCTGAATATTAAATAAATGTATTGCATATGAATGCAAAAAAATAAACATTTTCTATATTGAAAAAATGAATACATATTCACTGACTCCTTGAAAATCACTCAATACTAACCCCAACTGCTAAACTCACACATAGGAAGACTCATAAATTACAAACTGCTACATAGAAGTGGATCATTGAGAAGCTAATATCAATTTGGGAAAACCAACTAAACTGAAGCAAGAATCTGTACACCATGATTGGTAAGCTTACCAAGCATTTAGCTTGCATTATTTTAATCACCCAACAGCAATATTCAAACTCAAAAAGGAAATGTGAGAAAGAAGACTACCTTGGTGGAGTTGGGAATAGAGGGGACCTCAGATGTGGAGATGACCTCGATGCTCTCTGATGGTTCGGAGTCACGGTGGATGTTGACAAAATCACTCTCTGGCTCCTCATCGGCCTCGGGAGTGTGTTTCAATTGGGCCAGCCAATGCTCCAGATCCCCAGACTTTCCAGTCTTTTCTCCCTTCTTCTCGGTCTCCTTCTGCTAATGAGGAAGAATACATTAAAAGCCCATCAATTTGTAACTGTCCAAACACAATTTTTCATGAACACATGCTGAGTGCATTGACAGGGTGACAACTGAAAGTCTACTGCTGCATACAGAACACAAGCAAATTCCAGTTCGCACCTGGAAGCAATTAGTGTTGAGGAGCCACTGGTGCTTCTCCAAGGACGATGGTCTCGGGAAGGAGAATCGAATCATCGATGGTGTTCCCATGAGGGGCTTTGACTGCAGCAGATCTTCTGGCACTTCATTATACTCCTCATGGCTAATTCAATAATACCCAGATAAAAAGAACAATTACAGGAACAGTTACAGAAATTTTCAGTTCATTTCTTACTATGTTATAATTCTTAGCCAAGAACAGCAGCAAACTGTCCATCCACATGCAAATGTCAGTCAACAAGGTTTCTCTGGTGAATTAAAAAAAATTACCATTTACAGATGACACACAAATATGGTGTAGCCAACAAGCATGCACTGTCCACTTTCACAAATTCCCTTAATCACTTTAGTAAACCCTTCCTAGCAAGTGATTGTACCTTTGATGGCCTGAATGACCCCTCACAAATGGAATTTTCATCCCTGAAGATTTTGGGCTCCAGAGAAGCAAAAAAATCACATGGGATGGAGATTAGGGAAGGACTCCCCCTCTCCAACATTATCAGGAATATGAAACCATGCAATTGCCATGATGTTATGAAGATGACCATTAACCTTTTCCTGCTCACAAATTCTCTCTTACTAGCTTTCTATTTCACCAGAATCGAAAAAAGTGTCAGAGCACCTATGGAAGGCTATATGGCACACTTCCATAATTACATAATCAAAAGTGCCATTTATTGATCAGCACAACAGTATAAATAGATAATTCAGAGCTTTTATGATGATTCTGATACCATAGCCTTACATATGGATCAACAACAACTTGACGAGCTATGCATTGACTGGTGGATTTTGAGTTGTGAGAGAAGCATGCAGAGTTTTAGGTTATCTCCATCAACCTCTATCATAATGAAAACATCTACAGAAGTTCATTATTGTCAAATAAAAACTCATGCACATAATCTGACATTCCATATCAGGTACAAACAGCAACGTGACAAGTCAAACTTTTCATGAAAAGTTGAATAGGAAAATCAGCAAATTCCTATTTTGAAACAAAGCAAGTTGAACACATATGGAACAAAGTGGCAATAGATAAAAGCCATGTCTCAATTGACAGATTTCTGAGAAAACATCATCCAACTGAGGCTAATTAGAAACAAGTCCATGCTAAAGATTGCTGAATCCAAATCCTAAACTGATTCAAACCAAGAACCATTGATGGAATCCAGATTCCCAATTCCATCCATACCCAAGATTTAATATGTCCTTTACCAACTTTCACCTCCCTGCAGGTGGTCCAGGAGCCTAAATTTTGAGAAAGATATGGCTTTATGGTGGCTTAAGAGGGCTTATTCAAAATAATACTCTATGCTTTAGACTCTGAAATTCAACAGGTTCAACTTGAGTTTGATTCATTTAGTTCCTACAAAATGCCAACCATACTGCCTGTCCAAAATCATCAGAATACACAGTATATAAAAAAACCAAAACAAACTCAATGTTTGGCCATATATGGCCCATGGGAGTCTGAAACTGTTGTTCTTCCCTGTGCTACCCACCTGAAAGGCAAGAGAAGTGAGGCCTTCCCATCCAGACGAGGGAAGATGGCTGTGGATTGGATGCGACCAAATCCCTGTATGGCTTCCATCAGGGCGCTCGAATCATACGAAGACATCAGCGGCGGTGCGTGGTTCACCTCGTTTGGAAGCTGGTTCAAGCTGCATCAAATGAGTGTTTCAAAATATTTAGATGGCAAGTTTGGGCTCTAATTCTACATGAATATTTACATTGAGACTTTTTGTGAAAAATATGAATCAATCATGACATCATTGGATCAATGTTTTTGAATGCTGGGAACTATGGAGCTTGGGCTCAAAATGAGAAATAATATAACACTCAAAGTTGGCTGATTTGGTCAGTATTTCAATTATGTAAACATCAAAGAGTCACAAATTGTTCTATATCAGCATCAGGCTTATCACTACTAAAGAGATTGGAAAATCACGAGTGAAAAGTTACAAATGTTCACATTAAATAATTTTAAAGCCAACTAAAATGTCTTATTACCTCTAGAACACCTTGCAGGTTACTTTACACCTCAACTATGAATACCAGACAAACCTAAATGAGACATTAGAAAGCAAATGAAAAACCATTGCCTCAAAATTTTGCATAAAGGAGCTAACACCAGCCATGACAATCTACCTCTCAATAATCTTTTCCTTCAATGCAGCCAGCTGATTATGCTTGCTGGGATCCTCAACTGACGCCATCGCGATCTGGGCCGTCTTCGCGCTGCCGAGAAGCTGATGGAGGGTGGCATGATGGACGAGATAGAGGGACATCTGATGGGCCGTGAGGACGTCCACCTGGCGGAGGAGCTGCCTCTCTCTGTTCCTCAGCGCCTGCCCCTGCTCCTCGAACACCTTCCGAACTTTGTCCTTCTCCTGTGACGATTTTGCAATTTAAATCATGGTGAAAGCTGCAGCTGCCAGAACGATCATCCTCGTTTTCAAATTTCAGACAGAAGTACTTTGCCTAGCTCTATCATCAGCTTACCTCTTGAGCCTGCAGTTCCAGATTGTTCCTCAGTCCTGCATAGACTTTCAGCTTTTCCTGGAGCTTGACAACGCTCTGGGAAAGGCCACTTTTGTCTTCTGCCTTCTCCATTCTTTCCACCTTCCTCCTCCTGCTTTATAGGGCCTTGGCCTATTTGAAGCCTTTAAGGCTTTAGATAGGCCTACTTGGGCCTATATAGATGGGGGAGGTTCCTAAGAAAGAAAATGATCAGAATTGTTTCCCCCAACATGCCTTTGATCATTTCCCCTAGATTAGATCAGAGTCCTTTGCAGTCCAGGGCACGAGAACTAAAAACTTAAGCCTACGTGAAACCAGGCTCATAAGCGTACAAGATTCACTCTCCATGAAGACCACAAGAACTGGCGCCAGTTTGACACTGGTTCTTTTCCCTAATCTCATCTGTGATGCCCATAATGACTGCCCACATCCTAGATCCGATATCTCCCGGGCGGTACAGCCACTTCTCTTTTCATACCCCAATTATCCGTGCTTCATCAGGTGGCAACCCAGTCGCTTCTGAATGGTGACATTCAGAAATTTGCAACTCAGCGTTGCGGATTCAACCTGTACCCGCGCTTTCCATGTTTATTATTTATTTATTTATACTTCAACTGCGTTTCAGTTAGGAAGCCCGATGGTTAAGTGTTATATAATCGGGCCCCAAGGAAAACCATGGTTGAGCATAGTAGGGGGGTGACGACCCTGGAAAAAAACATATTGGGTTCATGCAAGTTATACAGCCTATGTGATACATCAACTCCGGAACATTCAAAAGAAAAAAGCATTGACCAAAGCCAAGAGCGTTAAATCAAAACTGTTTTCATGAAGATAAATGGGCCGATGAAAAGCTAGCGCAAGGCTATCATATGCACGCTTATCAAATGTACGTGTTGGCTTAAACCTGATACCGAGTTTCTATTCTCTCCTCCAAATCCTCACTGCCAAGAGAGTCACACCGATAGAGCTGAAGGACCATCGCACTCGAGGCACTGAACCCACTGGACGAACCCACTGAACCCCGTTCTGCACCCTGCAGCACCATTCTAAAGGATTGCGTGACAGGTTGCACTCCGAATTCCGCCGCAGTCTCGTTCTGGGCCCGCGGGACGGCCGAGCGCGGGCGCCGACTGGGACCGCGGGCCGCACCGCGGGGACCGCCGGACCGACCCGCGTCACGAATGCCCTCCACGACGGCGCGCATGCGCGGTGGAATGAGGATCGCTTCGTGGATTAAGAAGTCTCCGCGTCGCTGCCTTAAATCATTCCTTGTTTTTTGCCGAGCGGCATCAATTCTGAGTCCAAATATGGAGAGAGCCGGTTTAAAAATCTCCCGATTTTCTTCTTATGAAGGTCCTTTAGATAATGTTGGCGACCTTGACCTTGACCGCCACGTGGTGCATCGTCAGCTGCTGTCACTGGCGTTCGCTCCGTAATTGCGCACTTCGAGCTGTGCCGAGATGAAGCCCTCGTTCTTTAATCCTATAATCCTTTTATCCTCTAGTCCTTGTTGACCCTCATTCCACAAGCGGGCGGCCTTCGCTGTCTCAGTTCATTGCAGGAAAGCTTGCGCTGGTATTTGTTTGTGGATCACCCACGTTATTTCAAGCTCGTCGAATGACCTTTGTGGCACCAAAGTACTTATTCGGTGCATGTACGGTGTAAACCTGTCATACCGGAGAAGGATGAAGTACCTTTAGGCGTCTTTGGTAAATTCGAATTGGAATTTTTTAACTTTACCTTGGCGATGACGGTCTGAAACTGCCGATCGGTCGGGCCGGTCTTCGTCCATGCAGTCACGACTCCCTCGCGTCCCCTGCACGCCCTTGATGGCTTGTTGGCCTTGTTCTTGATGACTCGTCCGGATCCCCACTGCCGACTCTAGCCTGTCTTGTATCACAAGACGATGGAGATCCTTTGCCCGGGGGAGGATTCATTAGGTTTCGGTTAACCGTTGATGTGACTCATGGAAACTGGAATCCGCACGGACTTGAAGGAACTTCGACGTCTCGCGTGTGAAAGGGCGAGATTCAATCGAAAATGCTTGCGAACCAGAAAAGTAATGTATAATGCAGGCTTGGAATAATTTGAAAATGAAATTTCGGCCGAAGGCCAAAATTACTTTCAGATTCTACTGACGCAACATTTCTCGAAAACGCTTGCCTCTTTCCATCAAAACAAAAAAACAAAATCGAATACGCCCCCCCCCCCCCCCAACCCCGGGCGACATCCACTGAGCCAAGAGGTGGCATCCAAGGCGTTTTGGCCTCAAGTCACGTGATCCCCGTCTCGACCAATCGCGTGCGAGCCCTGCTCGGACGAGTGAAGCGACCAGTGGAAGCGACAGACGAGGTTCGTCAGTTCTCTCTCGACCGTCGATGTTGCCCTGAAGTCTAGACTTCCCAGAGCTGATTGTCGTTTCCGGTTTGTATGTACACAATGCTATTTTCGCGCCCATTGTATCTGTGCCATAAATCCGAGTTCTTCCGTTTTCCTTATTTTTATCTCGTGAAGCTTATCGAGTAAACACGAGCGCTTCACGATATGTTTTTTCCTTATTCTCGGGAAGTCTTGCTCCATGCTTATAGATGTTGCAAACAACGATCAGGTGATTTAGTTTATGGGGGAAATAGTGTCTATAATAAAGGGCAGCCCGAGCTCTTCTTTTTCCCTTCTTGATCGATTTTGGGAAAAATTAGACACCGATTCTGCATTCATGCCATCTCTCGAGGCCAGACGAAAAATTTTCACCCCGAGCTTTTCTACACGTTTCTTTACGATTTTCTGCAATACCAACTTGGCTCCGAGAATCCGAAGAAACTAGTAAAATGATTCACAATTCATCGCAATAAACTTCTACAGCCCATTGACGGCACTTCGCGTGCGTCAATCGGTGACACGAATCCCCCCAAAACTGAAGTCTGGCTAACAACGTGACATCACATGGCACGAAATCCGACTAAACTCTTGGTCTCATTTCCTCGGAATTTTTCGCAAGAAATGCGTGGGGTTTCTCCGCCCACGAAACAAAGGCAAATCTGGAGTAGAAGAATGTGATTTTAAAAATTGCATCCTCTTTCGGTTTTATAGCCGGGTCATTGGTACGCCAAGGATCAATTCAAACGAATGCTGGAAACTGGAAATATGACTTTTTTAAAAACATGTGCAACATATTTATCGTTCATACACTTATTTATCCTTGTCTTCCTCTCCCTTACCTCTGACGTTGCTAAACCCAGGTGGAATACATTTTGGAATTTGTTTTTGGCAGCGATTCGATCGGCGACGAAAGAAAAGCAACCGCGACATCACGCGGCCGGAGCACGAACTGCACCATCCCCCCCGTCGACAGAGATGGCTCGACGCCATGCGACTGCAAGGCCACCGCTCACCCCTGGCCTAGCCCGTTAGCCTAGGCTCAGACCTAGACCTACCTCGGTGGGGTCCATAGGCCTGTGCTCTGCGTTCGGTCGTGGCGAGAGGCGCTCGTTGATGCGAAGGGGTCGCGTGAGGCCGGGGCGATGGACGACAAGCACAGGAACCTGTTGAATGTCCATCGCTCGAAGTTCATTCAATGTGTCGACGTCGAGAGGCTCATCCCGTTCCTTCAGGATAATGAAGTGATCACACCTGAGGACGTGCAACACATTCGGGGTGGCAACTCCCCTGGAGTCAAGTGAGGGACTAGGATGTAACATTAGGCCTAGTCTTATTTTTGTTTTCTTTTATGTATCTTGTTTCTAGAATTTTCTTCCTATTGTGTGGTATAGCAGCTCCAGTGGCCATGCATTTATGTTACCTGCACCTGTCGACCTGCAATTAGCTCAACATGTTTTAATTTTTTTTTCTTGTATTAAAAAGTAGGGCATGCCAATCTGCATGATATGGGAAAGTAAGTCAGATGCTTCAAACAAGTGGCATTCTTATTTGGTGCATCATCAATGTTGTCTTTTATTGGATCCATTTACAATGCATATTCTATATTGTGGTTGACTTGCTAATGACATGACATGTGATTAGAGTGGATAGGCATAGCTTGATTATTAGAGCCTATGGCTCACATCAAGTCTCAAGAATGGCTTCAATGGTCTGGTAGATACTTGCTCTGCGCCAAATTGGTTACATGGACTCTAAGCTGACTCATATACTAATAGTATTTTCAAACATGGATACCTCTGAATTTCCCCCAATTTTACTTTCCAGATTCAAAACAAAGTGAAAAACTAAATGGAATGACTATAAATGTTGCAGTTGCTAATTTTGGCATACATCTCTTGGGAATTTTCTGATTTTCTACTCAAGTAGGGGTAGCTTTTCTGATAGAGGTGTAATATGGGCAAAAAAGAAGTGTCTGTGGTGGGGGTTTGGATAATAAGTTTGGACAATAATCTCTGCAAGGCAGGATGGTGCAATTTGGCTAAACTGCAAATTGGGGATATCAGGCATTGTTTTAATCATTTGGACAAGAACAGATAACATCTTTATTAATTCATGGCCCATGGGGATGGGAATTCACGTAGAAGGGCACACTTATTGTGTAAGTTCAATATGGGACAGCTCATGCATCGATAGAGGGCTACTGGCAGAATAAGAGTAAAAAATCAGTTCTTGACCACCAGCTACAGCAGCCACCTGCCCAGTCTAGGTACCTAACATAGTGTCCAACTATGCAGGCAGGTGTTCACCAGACATATGACGTCCAAGTTTCAAATGTGAAATGAATGGAGTAAATTTCAGTGGACCAAAAATGGCTTGGTGATATGCCATCAGAGGAATAGTGTCAAATTAGTTAATTTTGGAACTTGATGGATGCCATGGTCCATTTATAGCCCTACCAAAATAAATGTCTCGTCACTCTCAAATGAGCTTCTGGCACCACGGCGACTTGGTTGATGTGGATGGGTGGGACCTTCCTCTGCATTTCTCATGAATCACGCCAATGACATAAATAGAATGGGTGAAAATAGCCATTTGGAATGTCCACATGGTCTCTCTTTGGATCATTCAAGACCAGGGTCACCAGGGGTCACTTTCAAGGAAACTATGCTAATCATTCAGAAAGGGGCAGGGTTCATTTTTCTGCTGAGTGATGAAGCAATGAGACAACAAAAATGGAAATGCTGTCTCACTTTATCCCTTCCTTGAAGAGGTGGATGGATCATAACCTGAACACCTCTTCTTGGCTTAAATTCTTTTTGTTTTTCCTTCATGTTCTGAATTTCTGAACTCCTGACAACTTTCTTAATTTGTTCAAATAGGGTAATGATTTGTGTGAAGATTGTCAAGCTGAAGGTGCTGGAGGGTGTAGAGTTTTGTGAATTTTGTAAAATCCCTGTCTTATATAAACACTTTTTCCTCATCTGACTTGGAGGGCAATCTTCAAGCCCATGTCTTCTGGCTGAGTGCATCTGAAACAGGTTTGTATTAGATGCGAAAAGCTGCAAAACTGAAATTTGCATTCTTTGCTTTCCTTACTGAGGATGTAACTTAGGCTTGTATAAGTTCCTGTCTTCCCTGTCCAGTCAAATGTGGAACTCAATTTCTTTCCTCAGTGTTGAACGGTTGCTGGATATCCTTCCCAACCGAGGATGCCAGGCTTTTCAAACTCTTTGTCTTGCTCTGGAGACAACATACCCTCATCTTGTTACGGTCATGTTCTTGGGCACCAACCAACAACGACCACCACGCCCACTTTCAGGTATGCAGCTGGATTTTGCGTTGAATGGATGATGATCATTGTAGGCATTTTTTGTAATGTACTTTTGTTGTCCTTTTTATAGGACCGCCCATACAGATGAGGAACTTGGACTTTGAGTCGGATCCTGGAAGCGATAGGGATTCCGACAGAGGTGAGCATCTTGAGATTTTGACTCATTTTGAGCAAATTAGAAGCATCCTAGAAAAGGTTTTTGTGGATCGCCATACTATCATGGAACAACAGGATTTCATAAAATGTGCCAAGCCAAGGGTTACAATGCAGCTGTAGGGTTTTTTCTAGTATAGCTCAATGGTATGAAGAGGTAGAGAATGTTTGGACCTGATTTTTTGTGAACATTTCACACGTAATAACTTCACAAGTAACTTGGTGGTCCTTTAAAGGAATGCATGGCATTTGAAATGCTGTCTTCTGTTCAAACTCTGCATCATACCAGTACACCCAAGAACCTTCAAAGGCAAATTTGGATGGGAGGGGAAGTCATTCATAGGCAGGTTCTTGGTCCTCATGGGTAATTCTTTAATGGCAGCCAATGATTCAAGGCTCTGAGGGGGTTTAACCCTTTGTCATCCTTGTCTGAGTCATCTCATGTCTTCTGCTCAACCATGCCTGAGTTCTCATTTCTTAGAGTTCCATTCACATATTCAAAATATTCACTACCACAACACTCCTAGTGGCATAGCTGCCAAGTTATGCTTTTTTTTGTGAGGGGCAGAAAAAACTTGGATTGACAGTGCCAACATATTTAAAATACTCAGATACCAAAGGGTTAATAATGTCCTCGGTGACGTCAATGTCTCCTCTTGCGGTATAGCTGCTATTGTAATAGGCTAAATTTGGTGGTATATAATATGTTTAGTTATTCTTCATGATCTTTTTTTGCCTGACTTGTCATTGCTACATATGCTTCCATGTGAATTCATTAAATCCAGCATTCAGATTTTATTTCATTTCTTGTACTCCAATAAATTTACCAGTACCAGTACAGTCCTACATGCAGAAATCATGAGATGTGAATTGATACTCAGGCTTTATTTGGAGATGTATCTGCTGTAGTATCATGTCCAGTTACTTAAAGCTGAGATGCACTGAGCATTTCAAGCACAAGCTACCTGAGGCATTCATATTGATTGATGGCTGAGAGGTATTATCCTCAAATTGAGAATTTTTCCTTTCTAGGAATGCATGGACATGTGATCTCTCCTCATGACTATGATCTGCAGCAGAGCAACCTGGCACTCCTCAGAGCAGAATTGAGGGTAAGGTTTTGATTTCATATAAGTTACTTCTTCCTTCTCCAGGGGTGGGACTTTACAGCTTTTTAAAAGCAAAGATAGACAAAATAAAAAGGGCTGTCGATTCGATCAGATTAATCAAATTTTAATTGAGCCCCCAATCTTCCCCATATGCCTCTTTTCCCCCTTGTTATTTGACTGAAGTTCATTGTTTTGCCGAGCAGCTGAAAACGAATGCTTCATCAAGGGAGTTAAATGTAATGATGGCTTATAGAAGGTAGTCGTTTTCGCACTCCTCACGCTTTCTCAAAAAATGACGTACTAACATTGGAAAAAGGGAACAAGTAAATATGAAGTTGCTTTCAGACTTAGAAAAAAGCAGCTTTTCTGACCCGTTCTTATCCATTAGCGTACCGGTACGCATCCGTATAGCCTCGCAGGCCTTGTGCGTCAGGGGAGGTCAGCAGCGGCCTATAGCAACCGAAAAGTCACTGGATGCGAATGGGGGAAAGAAAGTCATAATTAAGGAGTTGCTAGGAAACGCATAGAAGGAAAAAGGGATTTAGACCTTGACGTGGGACAGGAGAGGCAAGGAAGACAATAGTGTAAAGACTGGAGAGTGAGAGGTGTACGGGTAAGTGCGCCGGCAAAGGTCTGTGGGAACCCCTGGGAAGTAAACGGGAGAGGGGGAAAGCTGGGAGCAGGCGAGGGAGGAAACGAGAGTGTGAAACCCCCGCCTATTCCTTGCTATTTCTGCTCTTCCGTCCTGTGTTGTCCGTGAATCGATAATGAATCTTTAGATCTCCGCATAATGAAGTGAGCTCTGTACATTCAGTCCATTACGTTACATTTTAAAATTCTCCTGGCATGATTGGCTTCATTTTGAAGAGCCTCAGTGCACATCTTTGCTTACGTTTCATTATTCATCTGGCTCTGTTGTAATAATTCTCACTCCAATTGGAATGTGTCACATGTAAGTTGAACTAATGTATGTATGGATGATAATTGTAAGCGACTGAATTGTCTTAAGTCACTTCCTGAGGCTTGCCGAGGTGTTAGACATGACACAAGCGGAATCATGCCCAACGCATAGGACATAATTCAAGGAGGAACTAAAGAATAGATTAAAAAGCGATTTATCAATTAAATTTGAATCAATCGATAGCCCTAAAAATTACACTTTGTTTTGGATTGGGTAGGAAAAACTAGAGATGTGAATGTGGGAGGTGGGGGGGTGTCAAATATTTCTTTGGTTGGAAACAATAAAGCACATCAAGTGGGATCATTTGGACTTTTAATATTAATAAATTTGATTTTTTGCATTAGTGATAAATGTCTATTTGTGTCTTGTGATGCAACATTTCTTACTACTCTGCATGGGGGTAGAAATTTGGAATTTGAGTGTAATTGGCTCAGAATTGGTGCAAGACAAAAGAGTAAATATTCAGATTTGGGTCTGAAGCCTTGAACTTGACTTTGGGTCAGGTACCAGAAATTGGACCAAAGATTTTGACTGCTTGATAGTTGCGCTTCTTTCCAATAAGTCACGACAATGAACACTAGTGGTGGCATGACTTGGTAGGTTGATGAATTTCCATGTGTTCCAAAGATAGGAGCAAGAAAAATTCAGAGCCTTGGAGAAGGAATCAGTATGTCTTTTCAGTCTTATTTATAGAGCTCCTTGGGTTTGGATATATCTGCTGATGAGTGTCTGAATCCTGGTGCAATGGAATGTGAACACCTATTTTTTTGTTTAAATATGTCACCCATGATTTATTGAACAGATGTGATTCCTTTTATCTCGTTATCTTCTTGATTTATAGCTTGTTAATTTATACAGCTTGATTTATATAGCTGATTTTGAAGGATTATATTTAGAGCTGCTAATTTAAAAGAAAATCTTGATTGATTTATGTTGGGCTGCTCTCTTGGCTAGTTGATGAAATAAATCCTTAATTCTCTTTGAATTTAGTGAAATAAACTTTAATATAAAAGATGGAGAACTAAACATCTGGCACTGTTTTTCTTCCAGATGACAATGCTGTCAATGTCATTCATGTAATAACATGAAGGCATTTTAGGTACTCATAAATTTGTATACTAGGTCTCTTGGCCCCACCCAAGGTGTCCAGTTTCTATTTATTTTTTGCAATTAATGGGTATGAACAAAAAATTAAAATTCATCAACCAATTTCAGTATGTTCCACAAGAGAGCAGGTTTGGATTCATATAGATGCTCATTTCATGCATTATTTATGTATTAAATATTGGTTGAAAACTTAATTGATCATGTAATTCATTAATTTAATCAAACAGGCAACCCTGATAATTAGAAGCATTCTATGCCTTCAAACCTTCCCAAATATTTCCCTGAAATTTCATTTTTCAGAAAAGGCACATAATTTTAATTTATTTTTATAGTGTATTTTTTAAATATATATATATTTTAAAGTTATTCAGAGGATATTGAGTGCATTGGTGATTGATCATTGTTAGTCAATTTCTGGTTCTCAAGATTTCATGTCAAAGTCCATTCCTCCATTCATGCCTCCAAGTAGCAATTAAGAGTTAGGCACCCAGTTTTATTTTTTTGACAATTATGCCCCCAGAAGGCGCTATTGCTGACACTGGTCTTGAAAGAGGAGTTACACTGGCTTAATATCTCTTGAGCAATTGGAAACCCAGGAGGATGTAATGATTAATTGCTATCAACCTGCTTTGTAATCTGTTGTGACTGTTGGAAAGATTGAGAGGAGAGCATAGATGCTATGATATGATTTTGTATTTGCAGTTGGTCACCCATGACCGGGATGCTCTCCGGAAGCAATTGCAGAAGCTCATGGCACGACAAGGCATGTCATCTGAAAAAATCGTGAATGGAGGATATTTTGGACCCCTGGACAATAGAGATGGTGAGATCATGAGTCAGCTAGTCAGCTCTTTTGAATATGAATGGGAAGTTGGTCCAAAGGCTAGAGGTAGCCAGGATGGGTGGGTGAATTCTAGTTTGATCTGAGCAAACTAGTGAGTAAGAAATGGAATGGCAGCTCTTTTCTCAGGAAAGTTGTCTTTAGGTGCTAATAACTTCAGAAGAGAGTGGTTGTGAAATGATACTTGTAAGTACTTCTCCATTAGCTCAAAATTGTTGCCTGTCTTATGTCCTGTTACTGGGTATGGGTTGCAGTGCATATCCTAAAGATGTTTCATGTTGTAAGTTACACAGATTGAGACAAGGTATGAAACACCACTCTACTGTATTAGTACAAGAGAAAAGCTGAGTTGACCCTGTGTAATTTTCAAAGATTGGCCAATTGCATAATCCCATAGTCCATCTTTTATCTGGAAAGAAATCAGGATTGGTCCTTGGAGCTATGAGTAACCAATATATGATGCTTTCTTTGCAACAGGAACTCTGTCAAGGTCCTCTGGAGGAAGTCTTTTTTCAAACTCGGGATCAGAGCACTCCCTCCAGGAGGACTACGAATCCCTGAAGCACCAATGTGAGCGAGCCAAGGTTGAACTCCAGACCCTCCGCAGGTGAGTGTGCATCCCCAGATTCTAATCTTCTCACATTTGATGTTTTTCTTATCCAAATGCCATCTGTCATTTTTTTCATCACCCAGGCAACACAGTCGTTGTGAGAGTATGTCAAAGGATTGCGAGTACCTGCGGAAGCAGGGTCAGGAAGCGATGTCCAAGCTGGAAGCTGCCAATAGCAACGTGCATGCCTTGCGGGCGCAGGTGAATGACCTGGTTGCAAATAGGGATCGACTTGAACAAGAGGTTGCCTCTCTTCAGAAGTCCAGGGAGGAGGATCAGAAGGAAGCAGTAGAGCTCAGGCGGCAACATCAGGTTTGTTTGAATCCAAAATCAACTCTGCATGTTATGCTACTTGTAAGGCATGGTGGTGAGGTGGTGGCAGTTTGGAAGATATATGGATGAGAACTTGAACCGTTAATGGCTCAGGCTCACAACATTAACCTTGGTGTATCTTGAGTGATGAAAGAACCTTTGATGAAAGGTAGGAACATATGTAAATGTTAGACAGATTTCTGTGCCTGTCTTACAGCCATCTAGGAGGAACAGACTCAGCCAATAGTCCCTTTTTCATTAGAGAGTGCAGGAGACTAGTCAACTACTTTAATCAATTGACCAGAATACCATGCACCATTGTCATTCATGCAACATCTGGGTAAGAATCAAGTCTTAGGTTAGGCTAGGGTTGATGCAGACTAATCAGGTAGTTTTAAAGTAGTCCATGCTGTAGTGGTGGGAACTTTTTTTCATGCAGACTTTAGGAGACGTGGTGATTCTGTCCAGGTTAATGAGCACCTGGTTTACTAATGCTTGGCCATGTGACCACTGACTTTGGAAACAGCCATTTAGTGTACTGCACTATTTCCCCATTTATTTTATTGTATATCTTACATGCTAGAGGGATTAGACTTGTTCCACTGTTCATGCTAAAAAATCCAAAGTTGTTCTTTACATTTTCTCACAAATTATGCTTGTGAATTGGTCTTCAATGTCAGCATGATGCTGTGTTCTTGATGTCTCCTGCAATGAAACCACTACTTTAAGGAATCAAAGAGGAGGTAATTTCCCTCCCAGTCAGCTGGCATGTGCATCAGACCTCATGAGAAACAGAACCTTTTTTTCAACAACTGGACTAAAGTTGGTTGTTTTCAAAGGTAGAATATGAAGGAAGTGGAACTGTAAGCATGGCATGGAGACAGTGTGAACAATATGCTCACTGAAAAAAAAATTGTCACATTGTTTTCATTGAAGTGGGATATCAGAGAGGTGAATATATATTTTTTTTTTGAGAGAGAACTTGAAAGAGGGTCAAAGTCCAAAAGCATAATTTTTTTTCCCCCCTCAAGTGCAGGCCTCTCTGATAAGAGAATAAATATAATTCTCTTTGTGGTTTTTGTAACTCACTTTCTTATTCTTGAAATCTGGATAAACCTGCCAAGAATGGCATGAAGGATTAAAAAAGTTGTCTGTCTCGCAGAAAGTGCTGGTTACTTTACATTCAGATACATGATTGTCCACTGTACACTGTTTTCCTATCCATCATTGTAACTTGCTGTCGCAACAAATCCCTTTATAGCTTTTCCCCTGTTTTGTTTTCTTCATCTCTTTGCACCATATAAAGTTCACTTGCCTCTTGAATTCTTATCTTGGTGCATGGATGCCTTATGAATGCTGATTGAATGTCGTGAGTTGCTGATGGCATTAATGGATGGCTGGTTCATGATGGCACTGGATAAAAATAAGAGGTATATGATATTTTTCATGTAGTCAGAATGTTGTGTAATTTAATAAAGCCTGTCCCCATTTGTTTCTTTCTTGACTGAGTGCCTGAAATAAAATAGGCATGTGTACAACTGCATCCATGTGATGATAATTCTGGCACTATTTATGGCCATCTTCATGTTTATGACACCTAGTTTTCCTGAGGTTTCAAGTCTATCCAACTCTTCTGTGATTCTCATTAGATAGCGAGTTGTGGGTTTTCATCTAAAATTGGATTACACCGTGTTTTTTTAATTGCATCTTCATGGTGATCCCTTTTGAACATGTTGATCGAATTGCTCTATTGAACTGGGCCCAGGTATGATGTCTACTGGGAAAAGTGATGGAAGTCTGCTGAAGTTGAGGAAGTAAAAAAAAAATCAGGGAAATGGTGCACTTGTGTCAAAACAATTTTAAGCAACAGTATTTGTTTTGGGCTGCCTATCAGTTAAAAGTTTAAATCTTATAGATTAATTTCATGGTAGGCTGTTTTATCAATCGAGATATCAAGTTTTCATGTTTGACATGGAATGTCTAAGATTCTAAAGGAAATATTGCTTGACTATCACCTACCTGATAACATTGTCATGTCATTTGTAATAGAATACAATGATGAGATGCAGCCACATCACATGATCCTTCTCAATCATTCAATATAATTTTTTGTTTTCCCCTCTTGGGAAAGGATAATGAATTTAAAATGTGTCATGCTGTCAGGTGTGATCCTGTTGAAGAAAATGTTGGTTGACTTTGTTTGATTCATGATTAATTTTTTAAAATTTATATGAAGTATTGTCATTAATCAATTAATTGATCAATTACGTATTGAAATTGATAGCTCCCCTTGATTATATTATTTAAGAGCCTAGGAGAGAATCTTAGCCTCTGAAAGGAACACATACATTATTTCTTCCTCTTGGTAATGTCCATTGCAACAAATAGGAAGGAACCAAAGAGTAATTCACATTCTCCACTTTTTCAGTATTATGTGACTCCAGGTTTGTCTATTTCAAAAACTGCAAAGCTCCTGTCTACCTTTATTCTGGTCTATTGCTATATTACAGTTTAGATGCATTGTTTAATGCATGCATGAAGAGTCACAGTTAACTTTGAAAAAAATACAAGGTTCTTGGAAGTGAACTTCCAAGAGTGGGGTTTGTTTGTTATCTCTATTGCACGCTTGTAAATGATATAGTTTAGAGCCATAGAATGATGAAGACTTGTATTTGGAATGGAGCAGGCAGCAATGAAGGAGAATGGGAGTGCTGAGACCATCAACCAGCTGTATCTGCAGGCACTGAGAAAATACGAGGCCTTAAAGGATGATCATGACTCCCTGCGAAAACGGCACACAGATGTCATCTCCCAATACTCTGCTGCTGCTTCTAAGCTGGAGCTCTCTCAGGTCCCTATTGCACCCCCCTTCCCCCCCCTCTCTGGTAAACATCCACTGGATATGATCAGCATCAAGTATTCTCTTCAATGACACACAGGAGGAGGTGGCTCGACTGAAGCTGCAATATGAGGAATCCATCCAAGAGCGAAACGCTGCTGTTCGAGAGCGAAATCAGTTCAACAAGCAGTGCACTGCTGCCATCAGGCAGTGGGACAATGCCCTCAGGGAAAATAGTGAGCTCAAGGAGCAGATAAGCAAGGTATGTCCCAGGGATTTCTTAAATCTTGGTAGATAGTTGAAGGAAGCAAGTAAGGCTGGAAGAGGACTGGTATAGCAAAGTTTAGTCCAGGCTCTATTCATGCCCAATTCTTGGCCCCAATGCAGGAAAGTTTTAGCTTTTCTAATTCACACTCTTCCAAAGAAGTGCATATGAGGAGACTAGTGAGATTTTTTTTTCACCCTATTTTGATTCTAAGTACAATTTATGGTTTTGATGAGCCTTGACAGATAGGATGATCTTGAAGTTCTTGTACCTTCCTTCCTTATCTCTGAATGCTTCACTTAGTTGTAGATGGATATTTACCATTTTCAGACTTCATTATTGATGTGACTTTAGGGGTGTCTGAAAATCTTATGTTGATATGAGATGTGCAAAGAGGCAGGAATTAGGTTGGAGGGATGCATTGTATGGCTCTTCCTCCCCCCAGTATTAAAATAGAAAAAGAGATAGTCGGTCTTGTTCTTTGTGCATGAGACCGATTCATTCCCATTGCACAAACATGCTCACGCTGATAAGGCAAGTGGATATCTCACTTGAATTTTACACAAAGGGAGGGCAAATGCAAGAGGGTGATATTTTCTGTGTATGTGGGGATGGACCTCTTCACATTTTTGACGCTTCATATGAAACACATCTCTTGATGTGAATATATTAGCCATAACCATTCAGGGCTTTCTCTGTTCTTTAGAGAATTAATTTGAGCTCTCTGTCTTGTACTGTTGACAAGATATGGTCATGTGACCTGGAAGTCTCTATCTTATCTTCTGTGCCCAGCTCAAAAAAATCAGTTCCCATGGGACTAGGAGAACACGTGACAATCATGTTTGTTTCTGCATGTTTATTCATCCCTTCTTTGAATGCATTCCCTGAAACCTCTTTTTTCTAATACCTTTAGAAGAAAGTAAAAGGCTTTTCACTTTTTCGAATGTCACATATACAATTGACAGGGGCTAAAAGCAGTACTAAAGATACAGGCATGGGAATGCTTTAGGTGCAAAGGCAAATCTTGAGAAATAAATCTGAAACTGTTGTTTGCAATGGCTTACAGTACCCCTATTCATTATGCACACTGTTTTTAGATTTTGATTTAATGTACCCCCTTTTCTTGCTTGGGGTGCCTTATTTAGGTATCTTCAATGCTTCATTTTCCTTAGAGTAATGAGCCTAAGGAATACTTAATAGAATTGTGAGCTTGTAGAATGTGTTTTATGATATATTTTTATTCTTTTCTCTAAGTATTTGGGATTGTTTTCTTCAGCAACTGACCCTTTTCTCACCCCCACTTGAGAGCAGATACTGTACCTTCAGTCTAGAGAACTGTAGAAGAAAAAAAGATTTTTGCTATTGTCTTGTTCAGTTGATTTCTCCACCCTCTATACATAATTAGGTCAAATGCGACCAATTATTTTTCATGGAGGTGCATTTGTTGTTTTTAGATGCAGCAGCAGCATGATGAAGCAATGAAGGAATTAAATCAGGTTCTGAACTCCCGGCTCAAACATCTCGCTGAAGAGCGGAATTCTATCAAACAGGTATTTTTTTCACACTTTAGTATTCTCTTTTTCTCTCTAAATGCTTGAAACATGCTGAAAGGATCATGCTGGGCATCTGGTAGGAATACCGTTTGGTGATGGGGGAGCGAGACAATGTGCACAAGGAGATCGAGCGACTACAGGATGAGCTGAGCAAAGCAACAATGACCAAGAAGATGTTAGAGGGATCCAACAAGGAGTATTCAGAGGAACTAGAGTCTCTCAAGCGGGAAATCACTGTTGCACTCCATGACCGGGACCGGGCATTGAAGGAGATCAATGACCTGCGGCAGCGCCTCGGCGGTAAGGCCGATGGACTTGGTCCTGGAGATCGAGAACCCAGGCATTCTTTTGAGGCCTCCAAGGAGAACAGGTGGGTCCTCACATCTTGTAAAAGTCACAATTGTTGGATGGCTCCAACAATACCAGATTTATTTCCCACTTGGATTATTTTGTCATTCAACTGACTTGATCTCTGATACCTATATAAAACATTTATTTTATGAATCCAATGCATGATATTTCTGAGGGTGTTTTATTGCCTTCAAGGGCCACAAATTTGGCTTTTGTGCTTTATCTTTTGTAACTTATCAGGTAATGCATTCTGCTTTCTTATTTTACTGTAGAGGACAAGTGGTGGGATTTCACATATCGTGGCATAATGCCAATATTTATCCCATTGCCTTATGTGCTGGACCTATTGAAACCTGGCCAAAATTGAAAGTGACATACTGGAAGTAAAAGTTCATATTCACAGATTCTTTTCAAGATTGGTAGACCCAATCATTTCTGATAATTTGGAACCCTGTATGGCTCATGTTGTGAGAGTATACATAGTATGCATATGATTGCTGTGAGCAAGTTGATGGTGGGGGATCCATCATGTCTTTAGTGTGATTGTTCTCATTCGGTTAAAGTGAACATTTATGATGGCATTTTTTTTGTCTGGTCTGCAGGAATATCCTGTTGGAGTAACTCATGGGATAACCTAGTAGAGTGTGCTGGAAATTGTCTTGGATATCACCAAGCAAGAAAGCTACTGCTGTTATATCTAACCTGTTAAGCAAAATCAGTTTAAATCTTTTCAAATTTATGTATCATACAATTCAATGAAGTATATCACAAGCTCCAAAGGAATCCTTCATATATAATTTTGACCAGGTTCTCAAACAACCTGGCCCTCTGCACAGCCTAGAGAAAGAAATGCATGGAAAATGAACATGGGAGCTCCACATTTGTTTGCCACCTAGGATATTTCCTAATTCCCAAAGTGGCTATGCTGTGTGGAGAGATCAGACTTCAGGGAGTGGGAGTCACAGAGGATATCACATGCCTCTAACCCCTTCCAGGAACATGTTTTTATGAGCAGAGTTTGGATGGGTTCAAATGAGTGCTGCAATTTTCTCAGGGATGTGAGTGGGCATTATGACGGGGCAGATAGTCTGGACTCGCAGCGTGTGGAGAAGCTGGAGAATCTGGACCAGGCCAACCAAGAGGTGGAGAAACTACGCAAATTGGTTGAGAAGCTGAAGGCTGAGCTCAAAGGTCTGTTGGCTAAGAACCTAAAAACTGAAAAAGAAAAGGCCAGGTACCAACTTGGTGATGTCTTTTTGTTCTTGTCTTGGGAAACAATAGATGCCTTACAAGAAGCAGAAGTGTCAAAGAGACGCAGGAACTGGGCATTTGGCGAGCGAGACAAGATTGTGCTCGAGCGGGAGAGCATCAGGACTCTGTGTGATAAGCTTCGCCGTGAGCGGGATCGTGCTGTGTCTGACCTGGCTGAAGCATTGCGTGATTCAGATGACATGAAGAAGCAAAGGAATGCTTTTTCTAAGGAGATCAAGGAACTCAGGTACTCCCATTTGGAAGATTGTGATATTTTAGGGCTTACTTATTGTCCTTACTTGCATCGAACTGAGAGTCCATATACAGGATGTCTGAAAAGTCACTCCCTATTTTTAAATTGTTATTGCTCCTAAACCAAAGGAGATATTAATACATTTCTTTAACTGAATTGAAGCTTATTTTTTACAGTTTACTTTATAACAAAATTGAAAAGCTTTATTACAAAGTTAAAATTCAACGTAGGCTCCAGCATTGTCCTCGCACTTCTGTAACCTTACCGGTACATTTTCAACAGATTTTCTCAAGTCACCTGGTGCATTGCCTAGAATATCACAAATTCTGTTTTCAAGTTCATCAATGGTCCTTGGTTTTGATTTTTAAACTAATTCTTTCACCCAGCCACACAGAAAGAAGTTGCACGGCGTTAAATCTGGACTTCGAGCAGGCCATTCTGTTGGCCTTCGACGACCTATTAAATTAAGTCGCTCGTTCTATGCTTAATTTTTCAGCCATTATTCACTTTATAATAGAAATGGTAATGATTAACACGTTGACGACCAGCCTATTTTTGCTTGTCCGCCGCATGGGACCACGCGCATTTTTTTTGTCAAAAAATGCGTCCTGCCATCAGGACACATGGTCCCAGAAAACATTTTTTTTGCCGAGTTTTTTGAAAATGTTGAATTTTTTGGAATTTTTATCAGTAATTATGAAATCATAATCTTCTGGAACATTCTCAACAGTTCCAGAGGGTATTTATTGAAAAAAAATCTGCATCCTGGCATCAGGACGCATTCTCGCCAACGTGTTAAGCTTAAAACAGCGAAAGAACGGTTACAATATCTCCTTCAGTTTAGGAGCAATAGCAATTTAAAAAGAGGGAGTGACTGACTATTCAGACACCCAGCGACTTAATTTAATAGGTCGTCGAAGACCAACAGAATGGCCTGCTCGAAGTCCAGATTTAACACCATGCAACTTCTTTCTGTGGGGCTGGGTGAAAAAATTAGTTTAAAAATCAAAACCAAGGACCATTGATGAACTTGAAAACAAAATTCGTGATATTCTAGGCAATGCACCAGGTGACTTGAGAAAATCTGTTGAAAATGTACCGGTAAGGTTACAGAAGTGCGAGGACAATGCTGGAGCCTACGTTGAATTTTAACTTGGTAATAAAGCTTTTCAATTTTGTTATAAAGTAAACTGTAAAAAATAAGCTTCAATTCAGTTAAAGAAATGTTTTAATATCTCCTTTGGTTTAGGAGCAATAACAATTTAAAAATAGGGAGTGACTTTTCAGACACCCTGTATATACCTTGAACTTAATGACTTAATTTAGCGAAAGGAATCAACATAGGAAATGAGCTGTTTTTGTTCATGTGATCAATATTTTCATGGGTATTATTATCCTAATTTGCTTAAAGAAATGTGTTTGCATCAGTAATAGCTGCAAAAAATGTGAGCCATTGAAGTTCATATGTTTCAATGCCAGGAATGAGGTCATGAAAGCCATATTTTCATTGTAGGCTACACACAATAGATTTTCCTTAAGGTCTGTTGATGATGTCAAGGTATTATAATGGTTAGGGAGTTATTGGAGGCCCAGGAGCAGGAAATGCGTCTCCAGCAGCGGAACACTTCATCCTCGCTGACCAACACCTTCAGCAGGGACTCTGCCATCGACTCCGACATGGCCGAATGGGAATCCACTACCCTTCATTTCAGTCATGTATGTTACATTAACTCCTCATACACCCAGCTAGGAATTCTCTTTGAAAGTCAGTTGTTCATCATGAATCCTTCAGATGGAATTGGGTGTCCATAATCTGGGAGTGGAGATCAGTTTGGAAGGAGCCAGAGGTGGGAACAACCTCCCAATTGTCACTGCCGTTGCTCCATCTTCCCCTCTCTATGGGAAACTTTTGTGAGTCATTAGTAATAATTGCATTGCATTTTTTTTGCACCTGTAAACCAATTTGCAGTGTCTGTATCCAGTGAAAATTTTCAGAGTTGAAGTGAACTGTCATAGACTAGGTTTTGAGTAAATCAGGTTTGTTTCCACCATAATATTCCATTTTTGGGGGGTAATGATGTTGCATGTGGTCAGAGTCTGAGAAATTATGCTGTCAACTATTCTGACTTGAAAATTTATTTATTTTCCAATAATATAGTAATTTTTCAAGAAGTTGCAGAGTATGAGATTTTTTAATATTGTAGGGTGAGCGACAAGCTGGTGCGCATCAATGATCATGACTGCATGGGCATGGTCCCTGCAAATGCATTGAATCTGCTGCAGAAGGCCCCTGAGAACTTGCAGGTCCTCGTCCAGAGACGACGCATGCCCCGGGGAGTCCACTTGGTCCAGGTCTCTGTTATTATTCAGATCATGAGAGTTTCTACCACATTTTGAAAAGCAGAGCTTGTGTTACAGACTTTGTTTATCTTGGGCAGTTGGTGCTAAAGGGTGGAATTATGGGACTTGGAATCAGTTGGGAGAATGGGATCTACATCTGTAGAATTTCAAGTGGATCACCTGCTGCCAGAGAAGGAACACTGTCGATTGGTGATAGACTTATAATGGTGAGAAGTTCCTTAATGTTATTTGAATATTATTGTGATTACTCTAGCTATATTGCATTGGCAATTTCTTTTGTCTGTCTTGTTTTACTGGCCCATTACCCAATTTTTTTGTTGTTGCAAACCTGTAAAGTGAATCTCAAAATGAATTTGGAGCAATTTCAGTTTTCTTGATTCAGTGAAGTCCCCAATGATGTGCTACTCCCTATCCCTTAGTGACCATGGAATTTTTTTTGCGTTATACTTTCTTTCCTTATACAGTCTCAGTTTTTTGCATTGTGGTATTTTTATGTTATAGGTGAACCAGAAATCAGTTGAAGGGATGACAGTGGGTGAGGTGGAGAAGCACCTGGCATCTTGGAAAGAGAGTACGGTGACATTGTCCGTAGCAAAGTTCTCACCCCATGCTGCACGCTCGGTGTTCTCTTCCTTGCCCTCTTCCCCACTTGACACCACTCAGGAGGAAAAGCTTGATGCTGCCTCCATCAGTACTGGTCAGCATATGCATATCATCTATCTTCTTTGCAATCTTTTTCTTAAAAACAAAGAAAAGACCAAGTAATGGAGGTAGACATGACAGATTTGATGTTCATGTGTTGGCTGAGGCTAGGACTGTATCCCCTAACTCATCATGTTCTTACATTCTATTGCCTTTGCTTTTCAGTCTGTACTTCTTGTTTCACAACAGAAGCCTAGATTTATGCATTATAAGAGTACTCTGCAAACATCAATCTGCATTTCTCTTCAGAGGCTAACTCTGAGCCTTATTTACTCAGATTGCATATAGATTTAGTTCTTTTTCCCATAGTATGTGTGACTGAATTCAATTCACATTTAAATCTGTTGTGAAATGAGTTCTCATGGAGAGAGAGCTCTTATGAAAGAAAACCTAATTTCTCCTGAGACAAAACAGAAGCCTATAGAGAAGGGAATTCTTAAACAGTCTATGTAATGTATATCTGTACATCTTCAGGTGGTGGTGAGATTGGGAGCCAAGAGCTGGACAGTGGAGACAGCAGCCGAGAGCTCCATGGAATTGGAATCACCAACGGACTGGGCCTCGGCACTAGACGGGATGTTGCCACCAGCCCCCTCAGGCAATTCCTTTCTTACAGTCTTGTCAACTTTTTCAATGGTTGAATTTATTTCAATTCAACTTTTTTATTTGTTAATCTTGGTGTAGTGGGCTAGAATCTGAGGCAGAGAAGGAGTCATCTTCAAGAGGGAGTAGTAGTCGAGAGGCACTCACTCATGGAAAGGGGAACAGGGGTGTCATGCGGCGCCTAATCAATTCCTCTAGCCAGACCAATTCCTCTAACCAGCCAGAGGAAGTCAAGCATCGCAGCAATGAACGAGTCTGTTTTTCTATACTGAAAATAGGCTGGTATCCTTTGAGGTCAACTTTTCATACTGATTCGAGTCTTGTTTCTAACAGGTTTATACTGTGAAGAAGGCAGGTGGTGAGAAGGGTTCCAACTCAGGCATTAGGGACATCTTGAAGGAGAGGTTCATCCCAGAGTTTGTGCGGGTGAGGCGACAGAGCAAGGAGCGACGGGGACCTTCTGAGTCCAGTCCCTCGTCCTCTGGCAAGAAGTCCTTCCGCAACTCCACCCCAAGTCCATTTGAGCGAGAGAAGGAAGATGCCATTGCTGAGCTAGATTCTGTCATAGCAAACTATCAGCCCAAAGGTGTGACCTTTGCATTTAACTTTATTTATCTGACTTATTAGTCATGGGATTGATTGTGATAGTGCTTGATTCAAAACAGCAAAAATACACTGGATTAGAGGAAGGTGACTGGATCCACTTGCGTGATTGTTGCTAACTGTTGCAAATTTTATCAAGAATGGGCAAATGTTCCAGGCAAGATTAAAAGGAGGATTGGTATTACTGGTAATAATGTTGGCATTGTCATTTATGCCTGTTTTAAAATAATTATTTTGACTGTTTATAGTGGAGATTGAGTTTGTTTGAGCATGAATGGGCTAGGTTTCAAAGGCTTCCAAAGGATTAGTCTGAAAAGACAAAATTATATTGTATAGAACAGCATTTCAAAATTTGACCATGAGGGTTCATGTTACTGACAATGACTAGCTAACAAGGACTGCATTATGAGATAATGAGGTGATCTTGTTTCAAGTTAATAAGGTAATATGCTTTATTTTAGGGTCAGGGACAGCTAAGCGTATCCGCCGCCGCCCTGTTGAACACGTGGAAATTGAGCCACATGGGACATGGCCAAAATATCGTGGAGCACCATCCTCGGCCTATGACTCAGTCTTGTACACTGGCACCATCTTTCCCCGTACCCAAGGCAGGAAGGATCGTTCCCGTGCACCTCTGTCCTCTGTGTTCCCATGCACTGTGGTGACAAGCTCAGCAAGTGCACCCCCTTACCAATGCGCACCGATGCATCACTACGACTATGCCCCATCCCCATTCATGTCATCTCTGGAGCAGAAGTCTCCTGGCTCTGGTCGCGATCTGGAACACAATCATGAACGCATCAGTGCCCTCACTCCATCTGACACCAGTCTGGATTATTCTGTTCGATCTGCAAGTTGCAAGAAGGAGGTAGGTGTTCCTGAAATCCAAAACTGAATTGAAATTTTGCATAGCTAGCCCTACCTTCCATTATGCTAATGCTTGAAGTGCAAATTTGCATATATATAAGATATGTTTGGGCAAATTGAGGAAATTGTTCTGGCCCTCCACCATATCAACATAGTGAAAAATATTGGTCTCTCATGCAATCAATAAGTGACAGATAATGCCTGACTACTGTGAAGTTTTTTTTTTTTGGAAAGCCATTTTCCCCCAATGTATATTTCAAGTTTTGCTTCAAGCCAGAATTTAAAATAATAATTGAAAAAATTTCAAAAGCAGAAGTAAAACTCAAATTAGTATCTAGCTGTAGAGGTGAACCAGGAACTGAAATGAAAAAAAAAACCTCTTTGGTACCAAATTTTCAGGCTTCATGCAGTTTAGTGTGTTTCATTTTATTCAGTCATATTTTTTTATAAAAAAAAAATGGCTAAACAAAAATTAGCCTTTTCAAGCAGGAAATTTCTTTCATATAGACTCTTTACTTTAAGGTTACTTGTTAGGGAGCCACTTCAGATACTCTGATCCAATCATCCAATGTCCATGGCCCTGAAGCTGAAATTAGCACTAATGAGCCTGTCAGTGCACTTTTCTCCCTGATGCATCTCTTTTCTAACAGATTCTGGAGTACTATGTGAAAAAGAAGGGGTCATCATCATCAAAGGGTGGTGGACAGTGCCAGAGTGACAGTGAGAGCAACCTTAGTCCAGTGGAATCTACCACCAACCTTGGTGGGAGTGGAGGTAGCGGCAGCGGGAGCACCTACGGCTACTCGACCCCCACCCACCACCTCCGTGTCCATTCCCAGCTCTATCCCGGTCCCACATACATGTCCTATCCAGTGCCCATGCCCATGCCCATCCCCCATCCCCATCCACACCCACATTCAGCTTCAGCTAGGTGGGTGGGCTGTTGCTTTTGATGTTTTGAGACATTCTATGAAAGTTACAAGAACCAGTGCTTTGTCATCAAATGAGCTTTCTGAAGTATGGAATGAACACTGCATAACAGTTTTTCCCTTTAGGTTTTTGATTGAAGTTTGACCCTTCAAATTTTAAATCATAAGTTAATGTGTTCTATCAACCCTATGAAAAAGAGACTATTTTCTGTTTGCTGATGTGTAACCTTGAACCCACCCAGACATTAATTTTTTCTTTGGCTATTGCAGGTACAGGGCAGTGAGTCCAACAGCCTCACTCCCCATGACCATGAGCCGAAGTGGGGATTCTATTTTATCGTCTGCAACTCATGAGCGATCGTTCCATGACGTTGGTCCTTATGTCTCCTCTCCACATGCACCTGTGAGACTGATTACCTGATGAACCTTTCATCTAGCCAATTGAATACCAAACACAGTGAGACTTTTTCCTTGCTGCAGATGTATCACCCTGGAATTCAAGCCGGGGACTTGGGCTGCCCGTATCGGCCAGGCCCTGGGGGAGCTCCCAGGCCACTGTCGATGCACCCGACTCATCTTCTGTACCAAGATGATTACGGTCATCAGGTTTATCATGCTGAGTTCCCCCAGGCTGGAACGTTCCCAAGAAAAAAGGACAATCAGCGCATCAGGTTGAACATTTACCAATTTCTTTGTTGAGAATAGAAAAGCCATTCCCAGGATAGCTTTTCTTTTATGCCAACATCTATTGCATTTGATATGTCCCTCCTTGCAGGATTCCATCAAATCAAAGTGTGACCAGCAAAAGTTCAGCAGGGAAGCTGACAGGGAGCATTGAACAAGGAATTTCAGACCGTGGTTCTAGTCCCATGCCCACCTTCCATGTTGAGACTCTTGGGAAGCCCAGTAGTAGCTACTGGAGATGTAAAAAGTGAGTGCCTGTGCTGCTATTGTACTCAGTACTCCAAGTACATCCATGGTGGTGTAAAGAAGAGCACAGAACCTTGACATTTTTGTTAAGTTTGAATGAAGAACGGTCTAAAAGTATTTCCAGACAGCAAGATTTTATTTACTTCTAACCCTGTAACTACCAGAACCTAGATGGTAACATGATTAACTCTTTGTTTTGTCACTTCATTACCAAATATGTCTTCAAAATACTTTGCATAATTATTGTCACATAGTATGAAAATCACACAGTATGAAGTTACAGTCACAGAGTATGGAATTTGTCAAGTTCACAGTACAGTCTATGGAAATAGCTAAGTTTTCATATCATGTTTCATTGGACCCAGAATGGTAGTTACTAGGTTAAACTCATTTCATTCTCACTCTTTTGCCTTATTTCACTATCTTGTATCTCTGAAGAGGCAGAGCTAATGACTTAGGTTTTTGAATAACAATTAATCTTCAATATGAATATTGAGCTTTCCATTTCTCATGAACTGATTGAATGAAATGAATCCTTTTTCACCCATAAGGTAGGCCTAATGGTACACTGGTATTAATTATTGCACAATTAAATCCACTTTTGATCATGAGTCATTTTCACAAGATACCTTGACATTAATATCTTATATCCAGACCATCACCTGGGGAACTGAGGAGTGTGTACATTGAGAAGTCTTCAGAACCACTGGGCATCTCGATCAGCTGCCTGAACAACAAAGGCGTGTTTGTTGCATCAGTTGCTGAGAAGAGTCTTGCAGAGCGAGTTGGCTTGCAGGTTTGCATGATCTCATAGCAGCATAGTGTTTGAATACCCTTTTCAACTGACATCATAAATGTTTCAAATATTATTCAGGTGGGAGACCAACTGCTGGAGGTGTGTGGGATCAACATGCGTAATGCCACCAACGAACAGGCTGCAAGGGTCCTGCGCCAGTGTGGGGATTCCATCACCATGCTCATTCAGTACAGTCCTGACAGTAAGAAAACAAATTTTCATATTAATCCATGAAGAAAATTACACAACTATTGGCTGATGAAATTCACTTATTCCTCAAGGTGATGAGATTGAGGCTACTCTGTTCATGAGGAATATTGTCTGCTTTTGGGAGTAGTTTTTACTAGCATATGGGATGGTATTTACTAGGGATGCACCAATCCAGGATTAGCTGATACCAATACCGATACTCTGGATTGGTATCGGTGCATCCCTAGTATTTGTTGTAAAATCAAGGGAATAATAATATCCAGATTATCTGTGATAATTTTTCTCCAAGGGTACTAGATTTTCTGTGACTGCAAATAATTTTACCAACAAGATTCTCACATTGTTGTTCATCAAATGAGATTTTGGAATGTACTTATGTAGTCATTTTCACCCTCCTGTACATCAAATTCTTCCCTGAAATATCTGAATTACTAATTTATCTTCCTCTCTGTAACTAAAGAAATACTGCATATTTCACCATATGAAGGCTCAGGAGACTAGCAACATTATTACTATCTACTTCTATCTCAAATGAGTAATGGTTCATTTGTTCTTCAAACGGGAACCTCCAAAATGAAATTATTTACCTTAAATGTTCAACAATAGCATAACTTTAACCTTTAATATTCTTGAGCATTATGGTCTATTTTGGATTATGTGCTGCTGTAGGATGTCATTATTATGGCTATTAACATGTAAAAGTGTACATTATACTTGTCTTTGGACTGCATTTTGATGCTGACAATGCTTGTGAATTTAGGGGGAAAACAAGTACTTTTTGCTGACAGATATAAATTCCCATTTTTCACATTTGCCCTTCCAGTATTTCTATGCTGATGAATTTGTCTTTAATGTGGCAGAGTTCCATGAAGGGGAAGAGGGAAGTACAAGTAGCGGGGGAGGTCATTCTCGCAGTGAGTCACCTACCCCTTGCAACTCGCCCAAGTCTGGGCGTGCTCCTGCCCCACTCACCCTTGATGAGGTTTCTCCTTCTGCCACCTCAACGCTTAGGTGAGTTTCTTTTCTGAGTTTCAGCCATGATGTTGGATTTATGTAATACCTTTGCATCATGATGCTTCTGTGGAGCAGGGCCCCGCTGAGCATGCCGACTAGTGCGAGCAGCAGTCTCACCCATCATCAGATCAATGAGGCCATTGCCACACTTCACTCCAAGAAGAAAACTGACTCAAGGTACAAAGCATTCGTTCGAATCTGTTGCTTTAGGGGGAATCATGAATGCTGGAGAGTTATTGAATGTTAAGAACTAGTGATTGGAGATCTGGATTGTCTTGAGTTATGGATTGCAATTTGAATCTGCTGGCTAGTTTAAATATGCAGACTAATTATGTATGAGTTACAACTGTAGGGAGTTGTTAAGCCATAGATAATTTCAGCTTTGCAGGTGAAGATTTAAGGAGCTGATGCTGCTTTCATAACATACATGTTCATGTAATACTTTCATGATACTTCAGGTTAGGCAGATATAAAAATGGATTGATTTGGTAGAGAAATGTTAAAATTGATATATATATTAACTCTTTCACTATTTTATGTACATATGGGTTTCTTCTGGAACTGCCAATGATCAGTCTGCAAGATTTATACATTTTTTAATGCTTGCTAGTGGATGGTGCTTGTATCATCTAAGCCACATGCACATTTGCTGAAAGCCAATTTTGACTTTTGATTTTCTTGCCACAAAGGAGTCAGCTAGCACTGGGTATGATCAGAAGCTGCATTTTTTTCCCATTGAGTACATGGTAAATTCAGCTCTGTTGATTGCCATAGAGTGTGAATAATCGCATTCTAATGTAATCCTTATAGCGGGCCTGGAGAGGAGAAGTCGGATGGAGAGAAAGGCTACCCGCCTGCATCACTCACTGCTCACGAGCCACGCCTGGTTCTGCTCAACTCAAGCAATTCCTGCTCCCTTGGGGTGACCCTTGTCGGTGGGAATGCTGTCGGGATCTTCATCCACTCTGTCCTCCCTGATTCACCTGCTTATAAAGCTGGCCTTAGGTGAGATGCCTACTGATTTTGAATTTTGAATTCAAAATCTGACTTGAAACACCCATTGTTTTAATGTGTGTATCTGAATTTCTTTCTTCTAGGTGTGGGGACCGACTATTGAAATTCCATGGAGCGGATTTGCGTTCTGCAACAGCCGAGCAAGCTGCATACGAATTAGCAAAGCCTGCAGAAAACGTTGATGTTCTGGCCCAATATGACTTCCAGAGTAAGTCTCCAATGAAGTTAAAATTCACTGAATTTGTTCTTGAGCCCCACTTTGGCAGTGTGAATAATTATGAATTACATAATATAGTCAAGTAAGTGTTGTGTTTATTTGGCTATTCCTATTTATATGGACAGGTTTATTTTATTGTTTTCTTTGAGTTCATTTGCTTTCCTTCTAATTTTTATTGATATATATAGTCCTTATATATATCAGTAAGGACTATATATAGGACTATATATAGTCCTTATCAGCAATTAATGTTGCTTACTTGAACATGCTAGTTCATGTTTTATTTAAATTACAAAAACCCCAGAAATGTAGGACCAAACTTGGAGCATATTCTTGTGTGATTGTAAGTAAGAAATGTTTCCCTTTTAGGATACATGGAGATTCAGAACCAGCCAGGCGATGGATTCTATGTGCGGGTGCTCTTTGATCCCATCCCGGAGCCCAGCAGTAGTCGAGATGCAGCAAATCCCCCCCTCAACTTTAGCATGGGAGACATCCTTTATGTGGATAACACAGTCCACAATGGGATCCCAGGCCAGTGGAGTGCTTGGAAGGTGGATCCTAATGGACACAAACAAGAGTGGGGCATAATTGCCTCCAAATACAAGTAAGACTTCTTTTTTTAAAAATAAAATTATGAGCAATGAAAAGAAGGTACTGTCGCATGCAATCAAGGTGATGACTTGAGGTAAAACAATATACAGTATAATATACTAGTCATGAGAAAAATAGAATAAAACCAAATTGCTCAGCTTTAGGCCTCAAAGCCATCTATAAAAACAAACTGATAATGACAGCATAAAGAAATGATGAAAATCATGAGCCATAAAGAAGATAAGTAAGAAGCATTCAGAGAACATGTGCTAATACCATAGGCTTCTTGAAACTGGCACTACTCAGAAGACTGGGAAAGGCTATGTGCACCTATATTTTCATGAATGTGGAGAATTTGGTCAAGGTGTGATGCCTCTGGCTCATTTGACTTGTTTTAATCTCACAAACATGTCTCTTGCATATATCTGAAAGGTCAGGTTTTGCAATGTTGATACCTGCATGGAACTGTATTCCAGTTCCAGAAGGTTTCAAGTAAATGATAAGGTTGCAAAGTTTGTGACAACACTTTTATGAGATGAAAGGGGCTTGTGGAGGAATCATTATGGGTATTTGTGGAGGATGCCATGATTCTCTGTTTTGATGACTTTTGCATTGGGATTAAGAAAAAAATATTCCTGTGGGGTGAAGAGGTGAATCTTTGGAATCAATAATGCATCTGACTAAAATCACAGCTTTCTGGAGAGAGTAGCATTCTTTTAACTTAAGAGGAACAACAGATTCAATGAACTTGTCCACTTGTGTCTAATTCAGATTTTAGTTAACCAGCCACTTGCTGTTTAGGATGGAGGAGAAACTGTTGCTGCTGCGCAGTCTTGGAGAGCTGGACTGTGTGTCTGGTGATGGGAGCAGCGGAAGCCCTGTCGGTGGAAGTGGAGGTAGCCGGCGCGGGTCCACGACAGCACGTCGCAGCTTCATCTTCCGGCGCAAGAAACCCCAAAGGGGATCAAGTGCTGGAGAGGCAAAGGAGCTGGCCTCTTTCTCTGATGCCTCTCTTCACACCTATGGGGATACAGGTCTCCTCAATGAGGAGCCTCCTTTGCCACCACCCACCTATCAGAGAGTGGAGCGCCTCAACTGTGAGCTCCTATTGCACATAAATTTTGCAGGCTGTCTCCATCATGTGGACAACTTTTCCCACATGCTTTCCATACCTTAATGTGAAGTAGAGCTGCACTCTTGTCATGTATTACCAGTATGTCAAAGCTCATTATGACTGAAGGCTAGCATTTGTAATTTTAAAGAATGTCATGAAAAATAGGAATTACCTCAATATGTTTAACATAAAAGCATGGCATTCACCTTTGTGGAAAAAAAAAAAAATTAAGTATCATACCAAATTCAGTGTGACACCATCTGTTTTTGCAGGCCTGATAATGAGACCTGTCCTCATCATTGGACCCTTGGCCGACTTTGTCTCAGAGAAGATGGTTCAGGAATATCCACACAAATTTGCTCAATGCATTCCTGAGGTGAGTCTTGCATAGAGTAGTACCTGTATTTTTTTTTTTATGTATAGATATGTGTGAGATGTGCATGGTGATGGTGATATGGATAAACATACATGTCCATGCCATAACAGTACCCATCAGCAATTGCCATGGTATGTGTAGGTTGTGCGGGGATCACCAAATACACTCGAGAGTGAAATCATTGACTACAAGCGACGGGGCAGTCACTTTGAATGCCTCACAATAGCTGCCATTTGTGAAGTGAGCGATCGGGTGAGTGAGGATTTATTATCCCATGATGAAAAAATTGAACACGTCTTCTATGGATATGGTCCAACGTTAAACCGTTTTGTGGCTGTCTGTTGAAAACATTCTGAAAATAATTAAATCTGGTGTCTAGACATTCATCAGATATCAGAATCAATATATTATAATGAGAAATTTTCCTCTCTGGCCCTTGCAGTTATTATAGTCCCAGAATATAAGCAGAAAAGAACTTTGTTGTCATATGTGACAACCCTGACTTTTGACTCCCAAGAATTAGTCACTGAAGTATGAGAAATATGAATGTTAGTTTACCTAATTCTGAAATTTGGCTATTTTTGGACCAAGTTTCAGATAATGGAGGAGAGGCTTCTGCATCAGGGCTTTTGATAGGAAAACTAATGTTGTATCCAGTAACTACCATATTAATTATTATGTTGATGATTGAGGAGCAAAAAGATATGCATTTTTTTAACAGTTGAACCATGAAAATGATGAGAATTGGATCATTTCACATAGAGAAGTGTACATTTAACTTGAATAGTTTAAATGTAAGGGAAGCTGCCTTTGATAAACATGACCTCACATTTCTTCACAGAGCCTGCATTGTATCCTTGACATGAGCCTGAGCGCTGTAGAGCGTCTTCAGTCATTAGGTATCTACCCACTTGTGTTCCTCATCAAGTTCAAGAGCCCCAAGCAGATTCGTGAAGTGAAGGATACCCGCCTCACAGAGAAGCTCTCTGCCAAAGTCGCCAAGGAGGTGTTTGAACATGGTGGGAAAATTGAAGCCGAATTCAAGCCTCTTATCTCAGGTATGAATTTTCATATGCTCCTTTTACATTAAAGAGAATAGATTTTGGTACTTTAGTCCCACAGTACAGTGGTGCACAACCTTTTCCTCCTAGAGGGCCAGATTGAGATTTCGGCTCATGTTCAAGGGATTTGAGGCCCGCAGGCCCTCGAACATGAGCTTAAATAGACTGCATATAAATATGGATCTTTAGAGACCGGAGGCAAACAAGGGGCCACAAAAAAGGTCTCCATGGGTCGTATGCGACCCATAGGTTGTGCATCACTGTACTCTATGTGGGATGGAAGGCTTTTCTTTGGTTTCCATAGTTGCCTTCCCAACCAGTCCAATTTGTCCCTTCACTTTGATAGTTGCAGAGCCTCATACCTTTTAAACTGCAATGTTTGTTCCTGTTCCTGGTCTTAAACCAGGAATTTTTTTTCCTGCTTGCTGCAACATTCAAATGCAGTTAGTTCCTTGATCAGTAGAACTGATGGTAGAAAATTTTGTCTGCATAGACACTCCATGTGTACCAATTAGAAAGTCCTGGAATTTAATGCTCTGATGAAAATTTAAATATGCATCAGAAAGTTTTAAAAATCCTTGATTGTCAGCAGGAAAAGTTACATTGCATCATGTAATTCTTTAAAGATAAACTTAGATCTCTGAAGAGATATTACCATGAACACTGAATTAAGTGATTTATTTCTTGCCTTGGATTGTAGCCGTGATCCACGCAGCAGGTAACCTGTCCTATATCTGCACACAAGTGGCATCACATGTGGAACAGGGGCAACGGAGCACCTTATGGGTCCCCTCCCCCCATCCCTTATGGTGAATCCCACACATCTGTGATCGTCGTTCCTTTTATCCGACAATCTTTCTTTGTGCTGCTTTTGTCTGGTCAATGCTAGATTTTCTCCTCCGTCCAATTGTGGCAATCGTTAATATGCAGCTGTTATCTTGATTTAAGAGTCAAATTTTATCAAATTGTTTCATACTATGATGATTGTGAGCTTCTTTAATTACACATTTTGAACTTGAGGCTATGGTTTAACTTGATCAAGTAGATGACTTAAATGGAACAGAGTTTTTTTATATGGGATTACAACAGTTTTTTGGAGCAAATTTTTATTTGGGATTTCATGGGTTTTTTTGTCCTAGTATAAGTGGTTATACCATGGCTCAGGGACAGTACATGACACTCAGAGCAATGGACTTTGTATTGAATGAACAGTGGAAGTGTAACAATTTCCTGGTACACTCATTTTTCCTGCACTTCTCAAAACCTGAATAAAAAAGCATTATTATCTTTCTTATCCAATGGTCCCTTGCCTGTGCTGTGGAAAAGCCTTGTTGTGTACTTTCCACATCTTTTCCATCACCTGACCTTTTTGACATGTCATAAATTGTAATCACACCATCATAATGCCACATAAGGTGGTTGCAATGAACTTGCAATAATTCACAAGAAATACACCAGTCACAAAGCACAACTACACTAAACATTGTCACATTTTATGAGGGGAGAGATCCAAATTTTCAAGTAATTCAGAGGATTATGCAAAAGAACCACATCATGATCGTTCACAGGTCTGACAAGGCAAAAATGGAGCATGAAAATTTTCTAGGAGGATTGTATAGATCAAAGACCCAACTTAAATATATGAAGCAACAGAACCATATATTACATTTTCATTAACTAATAACCTGAAGATGATGGGTGCATCCCAGTAATAGATATTTTTCACTGGAATCCCAATGACAAGCTTTCGGTGAAACAATGTAATTAATTCTCTACTGCAAACCAATGGATGAGTGGAAAAGTTTATTTAGCTGAAAACTTCATGTGTAACGCACTGTTGACATTTCCATGCCATGAAGTGATGCACTTCTGTCCTTAACTGAAGCCTCACCAATGGGAAAACAAAAAAACTGAATACGAGGATACAATATGGCGAAGATGTCTCGTGATCAGGTATTTACTCCAATGTCTCAGCAGGTGCCTCCTGGAAAAGCAAGACATCCACATCAGAACAAACATCACTTCAATGAAGAAAAAAGTATATATATAGAAAACACTGCAATGTTCCAGACTATTTCTCAATCTTCACCTAACCATCTAAATTTGTTGCCATTTCATAGGTTACAAAGCAAAATGTTAAAAATTTCTCTATTTGCACCAGAAGTAAAAACTTCCCCTCTCCTTCAAGATACACTTCTTCCAATATGCACAGTCATATTTTTTAAATATTCACAAGTCCACATTTCACATTGTCCACATTTCACATTCCCAGTATCATGATATAATAGCACTGGAAATTTGTATCTTTGACGGCTTCATTAATCTAATTCCAGTTTATTCTGGAGCAATTTCTGGCAGATGCTTATTAAGAAGGCAGAAAATGTGAAAATTTTCCACAAAGAGTCAGTTTAAAAAAGTCCTCCATGCAGTGGCACCTCTCCCCTTCAAACTAGGTAAACTACAACCAATCCCACCCCAAACCTGAATTCACAATCACCACAGGAACTTAAGGGTGAAAGTAATGAACAGTCTCATTATTTCCATCCAGAATTTTTATAAGTGGAATGATTCTCCTTCCACTAGCCTTTTTAAAAATTATCTCATGAGGACTTCCATCTAAGAACCACAGATAATGCATACACTCACCTCTTCTGCCACGGTCTCGGCTTCGACAGTTGTCTTCTCCTCGTCTGTGTCGTCTACACTGTCCAGTTCAATGAATTCATCTCCATTGATGCTCTCCATCTGCTTTTTGTCTTTTTCATCTTCCTTCCCATCTGAACCCTTCTTGTTCTCACCTTTTCGACCCTGAAATGAAATTAATGCTGCAATAAAATGGGAAAAAAAACCCAGGAGTGCCTAGTATGTCAAAATGGAAAGACAGCTTCTGCTCTCATCTATTCCCAGCTCTCAATCTCCATACTCTTGTATAAAAATGTAAACAAAATACTGTTGGAAAAGATACTTTGAAGTATTTCAAATAAACACAAATGGCAGAAATATTCCACAAGGATCTCTATACAAGGCCTCAAAACTCCTGGGAACGGAAAGTTTGCATAACTTTACATAAATGCCATGTCACAGGGCTGCATTTTGTAAGAGATTTACTTCTGTGATGAGACTTGCCTTTCTTTCCGTCATGGTATTTTTAAACATAACCCACTTGGAACTTCCATTTTGATCAAAATTACTTTGCATCACTGAAAAAATGTACTTCATGTTTGAACTTAATGCTTTCTTCTCTCTCCTCGACCACCCAGATCAATTGAAAATAACATGATTATCTTCAGCATCAGCATCATGTTTGTTTCATATTTCTATTTCTCCCTGATGATCTCTCTTCTTTGCTCTGAGGATGGTAACAATTAGTTTTAAAATATGTTTGAGATGGACAAGAACCTATTCCTGGAGAGGATAGGAATATGGCATCAAACCTCTGTAAAAACAATCATAGCAACACAAAAAAAACCCGATTAGAATGCAACTGTATCAGAGGTTTAAACTTGGGCTTTGATTCTTGCCAACATGCAGAATTTTCTTCCCATCTGTGCACAGATCAGAAGGTTCCCAGAGAACATGACAAGCAAGATGACAGAATTTCAACTGCCTACCTTTTCCAGGAACTCGTAGTCCTTGCTCTGGAAAGGATTGTGCTTGATTCCAGCCATGTTTGAAAAGGTCACAAGGATTGGCCAGTCCTTGATGTACAGGTTGTCGCTCCTGATGAAATCCGCCATGGCATCGTACATGGTCCCATACAGAAGATTTGCACGCCTGAAAGTACGATTTATGGAATGATTAAAAATTAGTCCAAGAGCAGGAATGGAGACAGGAGTACATACACAGTAGGTGCAATTCATCTCTTCAATAGTGCACCTGAATACATCAAAAAGGTCTTGCTTTAATGTATTATGAAAGACATTATTACATCCTAGGACAGTGGCTCTAAAGATATATTCTGCACAGTAGGGCAGAGTGCTTGTAGCAGGGAAATGTCAATGATAAATACAGACAGGTATCCTGCATGAAAGTTATGTGCAGAGCTTTGCAGATAACAATTTCTTTTTTAAAACAATTGCAGTTGAAGTGTTCAGGAAAACACCTGGCCCAAAATGTGACTGAGAAGAGGAAGGTGCATATTTATTTGCATTCTGTATTTTGCCCTGATGCATAGGGTAACAAACAGCAAATTAGAGTCTGATACTTCCTTTTCATTATAATTGAGATAATATTAGGATTCGTCTGAATTTGACATATGAATTTTGAGGTTCAGAAATTGCCAATACTGAAACCAATGTTAGATCAATCTTGGGAATTGAACAACCTGTACATTCCCCCCACCCTGCATAATGGTTTCCCATGGGATCTGCCCTTCCCCCCCCCTTTTCTTTTCAAAGAGAAAGAATGCATCCCAGCAAAACACAAAAAGTTACAAGCTTTGACATGGCTCCAAGCCCCCACCATCAACTATAATTTTGAAATGAGGCCTCTTCTGCCAGTCACTTCTGATGAGCTACAGTTGATACCAGGGGAAGGTTGAGAGAACTAGTGGGAAATTTATCACTGGAACAGGTTCTGATCTGTGCCACTCCGACAAAGTGACCACTGCTCAAAGCAGCAAACTCAGCCCAACAGGCAAATACAAAATCGAAGGGCTCACCGAGACTCGTCGGTGTCGGTGATGAGAATGTTCACCGCACTGGGGAACTTGGTCTTCAGCTCGGACCTGGTCACGTCCTCCGGCAGATTGGTCACGTGAAGCCTAGAGGATTGCGGACACCAGATTGATGCATTCGACCACTGATTCACATGGTCACAAGTAACTACCCGATTACTAATTGCACAGACTCCACCTCATTTGGTATGAATTATTAGGTCATTTCAGGTCTCTTATGGACCAGTTGGCATTCAAAGTCACGAGGCATGCAGAACGTTCTGAGGATTGCCACTCTGCACAAGAGTGGCTCATCACAATGCTACACCAGTTACAAATGGAATGGAGCAATGTGGAAAAGTAATCAGGAGTTTTGAACCCCATTTCTCATATTCCAAGGAATTTTGACCAGATGGATGTGGTAGCTCATATCCTTTCTCTCAATTTCAAATCCAGTGTTCTTATTAAGAACAGCCTGAAGTTCCATAAAACTATCAATGATCACAACATTAATGATGCACGAGCTTCACGGCTCTATTAAATTTTCAATAGGGATCTTTGGCTTCCAACTGATATTTCTCATGAAAATAAGAAAAAAAAATGATGTGCAACATCAACACACCAGAGAACCTCTAGCAATCAGCAGGGGTTTCAAAGGAAGCCTAAGGGTACATTTGTTCAGTTGCTATTCCAAGTTACATCATATATACACAGCTCTACATAGGACCTGTCGGCTGCTAATGCACAGCCATTGTCAACAAAGATTCCACGTAGAGGCTGACTTGGTGCTGGAACACGCTAAAATTAGTCATCCACCTTGGGATTTTCACAAGTCAGAGTCTTCAGGAGAAGTAAAAGAAACTAGTAAACCTACCATACTACTTTCCAACAATGGCAATGAACAATTTTATCCAAGACTAATCTATATGGCTGTGTGGAATCGCATTGAAGGATGTCATTTGCATTCTTCCAAACAAAATGATGCATTAAACTTCTCTCCATTCCCAGGGCATATGACACCATCACACCTAGAAGCACTTCAAAAAGAGCAAACATGTCCTTTTCTAACCTCTAGGTTTTCTCATTGCTGATTAGCAAGGAGTGTTATCTTCTAGGGCTGAGGTTTACATCTCATGACAATGGGATCTAAGATTCCCTAGACATGGCTTACATTTCTGAGTTTGTGCTAATACCCAGATGGGTGCTAGAAAGAACCATACATTTTCCATGACCAGCCAGTTATGGCAGATCTCAGGGGAGCCTGCTATCCCCAATTTTAGCATAAACAGATTAAAATACAAACCCCATCTCCTCATTCAACAAAGATCATCACAAAACAGCACCTTGCAAAACTATCAAGATGTATGAAAATCAAGCCCCACATAGGGCTCTCAGGCTCTCTCTAGCGGCCTCTCATGCTCCCTAGCGGTCTCCGGTGGACTCACCGCAGGAGACACGTCTGTGAGTGATCTAGTAACTCACTGATATGGATCCAGCCTCTCTCGTTTGGGAGGGGAGAGTCTGACATTGATCTTCTTGGCATGAACCTGCCTACCATTGACAAGAGGCATCTCTTCCTTGGCCAGCATCTTGGCTGCATTCTCCTCCGACTTGAAGATCAGCCTCACTGCCACGTGATCTCGACTCCTGGACGTTTCAGGGGTTTAGCAAAAAATTGTTTGATCATGTATCATATGAAAACCGCACAGAAGATAAGAGTGAAATGCCCTTTGCAAAACATACTTGCTGCCAGGATTGGTGAGGAATTCAAACTCAGGGAATGCCTCTTTCACATCAGCATGTTTGACCGGCTCTGCCCCAACAATGCTATGAAAAACCAAAATCCAACTCATAGGAATGCTGTCTCAGTGAAGATTGGCATGCAAAAAGGTATGCACATCCTTGAAAAGTGAATCATCCAAAAAAACGAAATGCCTCCTTTCAACAACTGTGCTTCTCTTAGCAGTTAAACAGTGTATCAGCTTAGAGAATTAGCCAAGTAGGGAAAACTGCATACTCCATAATCAACACAGCTTTTTGCTATGTGGTTGCATTTTAGCACTTAGTGTGTCACATGGAAAGCTGTGATGGTTCATTCAGGGCTTCTTACAATTTACAAAAATAATCACATTACTTGAGAAGGCATAGCTTTTACACACAAGTACATAAATTACAGCCTGTATGCAAAGTGCCAAAACAGGGTGGCAATCAAAACTCAAAAACTCTAACCCACCCATTCATAAAGGCCTGGCAAGAACCTTGTAAGTGATCTCCCAAAATGTCAACACTAACTGGCAAATGGAAGAGATTTTACCAGCAGCACAAATCCACAACTCACGTGAGCATGACCGTCTTTTCGGCGTACACTTCTCGCCTCCGAAGATTGAGGAAGAACAGCATGAGCGAGCCGTTCTCCTGGAAGTCGGCGGGAAGCTGCGAGGAAGGGTCGGAGAGTCTTCGCGCCTGCCGGGGGGGCCCGGACTTCCTCTGCTCGACCATCTTCGGCACGGGGGACTGCTGCGGTCGGTTCAGGCCCTGCGGGGTCCGCGGAGGCCTGGGAGTCCGATTCATCATGGGGCGCGGACGAGACAGGTTCGGAGACATCAGAGCCGGAGGGAAGCTATCTGGCCAAGGAGGGTCGTATGGTCCTGGACTCTGCAATTAGTAAAAAAAAAAATAGAGCTATATAGGAGAGTCAATTTAAAAACATTTAAAAAAATTGACTGGCAGAAATCTGAAATAAGTTAATTTCTTTTTGCTATCAGAATATCCACAAATATTTATTTCAAATATATCAGATTTGCCCCAAATATAAGATAGATCTTCCCTTTGCCAGGCAATTTTCAACCATTCCATGCCCTTTCAAAAAAAAAAAAACCTGCATCTTGAGGAAGTAATTTGCAAAACATACAAACTGGAAAGCTCCACTCCATTTTTGCTACCTTAACTTTGCGGCAAGTGTCCAAAGACATGCCAAAACGGGATTAGCTACCAAGTGCAAGAGGCTCTGAGAACATGGATGCCCTCTATAACTAGGGCGTTCATGATAAATTAATGTCACCAGTAAGGGTTTATCAACTGTTAGAACAAAGTTATACAAAAAGTACCAGGAAAGAAAACATGCAAATGCATAAATAACATGAAAATGAGATTCCCAGAAATCATGGAAAACAAGACAGGAATGGAATTTTAAAATTAAAGAGGGGCCCATGAGGGAAAGGGAAAAATTAAAAAGAGAGCCTTGGCAACATGGTGTTCATCAATCTAAAATAATTGCAAGCTTTGGGGGTGGAGAACCATTTAGAAGGCATTGAAGTATTGACTTCAACATTCATTATTGTAAAGAATTCCCATTTGCATTAACAAAATCAATTAAATAAATAGGAAACTTGAAAGAAAATGATCTCACAAGCATTTGTCTGCCTCCTCGTGCGTACTCCACGCATGCACCGGCTCTCTGCAAGGCCCTCAGGGCCATGTCCGCATCTTCCTCGTTGTAAAACTCAATGAATGCAGCACCTGTTGCAAAAGAGAGATATCTGTTGAATTGCTACAATATCATCACAAGTCACTGAAATTCTTATGAAACATTTAATTCGCCCAAGCCAAAATAAACAAGCAGCCTCCAGCAAGTGTTGACAGACCCCTTAGGCAGGCAAACATTTCCTTGAAGTGGCTTATTTCATGGTGGTTTGGAAAGAAGCACCATACCTATCATCATCTAACACAGGATCAATAAAGTCCACAGGAAAAACTTCTGTGTCCACTGAGATGATGGCTGCTGCTTCATCATAACATGGTTGAATTACCTTTTCTGCAGGCATAATCTTGATTTGAATCTCCTGATTTGTTTAATTAATTCATTAACATCAACCTGATTTACATCAGTCACATGAAGAGTGAGAAAAGGAGATGATGGCCATGAAAAGAAACAATTCATCTTGGTCACAGAATTATTTTATTGGTTCAAGTTATCTCTAATTATATGTGCTTGGTCCTGTAACCTATATGAACTTCATGCAGAAGCCAAGTATGAAAAGCCTTGCAAATAAACAGGCTCAGTATTGAAAAACAGTAATCTGAATGGTATTATGGATCACAAAGCCAGGTTTATTCAGTTTATGGGGATAACTTCAAGTGATGAAGCAATTACTGACTGAAATGAAATTTTATCTTCAAATCGGCAATGGGAAGGCAGAATGTTTCAATTGCCTTTTGTCCTCCACCACATTGCAGTCATATTCCCAACTCAGGTTTAAAACCTATCCACTAATCCTAATCTGGTAGATATACGACCTTACTTCCATAAGAACGTGGATCATGTGATCCACGATTGACACCAACGGGGCTTGCGGCTCGTCGGGGAAAACGCGCGCAGAAGGGTGCAGTTGGCCTCGACCTACCGGGTCTCTGCGAGTGAGGGTTCCAGCTCTTGAAGCGCAGCCCACAGTTGGCGAAGACGTCCTTCCATCTGTGCGCCGTGGTGTGGTCGTTGATGTTCGAGAGGTACAGGACCCGGGAGTTCGGTGCGGCCTTCGGGTACGGCTCGAACATGGGACCCCCTCGTCCGCCTCTCCGGTTCCGCAGCATTCTGTGGTTTGGATTCGTTTGTCGATCTCGAAGCCCAGCTGGTGGGTTTCCTCAGGTTCAATACCTGCATTTAATAAGTATGAAGCTTAATATCCAAGATTAAGATGAGTGCTGCAACTGTGTTGCTCTTCCAAAAGACTGGCTGCATCGGCCAAGCGATTAGGATAGCCTAGTAGACTGTAAGACAGTGTAAAATATCAACTAGCGTTAACACAATGACGCTGATGACCGATTCCACTTTCCTGCCATTTTCGAACCTGTTACTCGGTGAAAGTTAGACCTAGCCGGTAACTTCGTACATAAAATCAGGCCGAATCTCCATCACCCCAATTCAATCGTGCCAAACCCGTGCAACTATCATTACGCTAAGCCCGAATCCCCAACAACAGGGACCACCGACCGAATCACCCACGAACCCAAATGAACGCGCACGAGACAAGCTCGTTCCCGGCCGTGGACCCTCCTTGGCAGCCGCCATGGCACTGGCGCGCGCGCAGCGGCGGACGCAGGAACTAATCCGGAACTGGTTCCATTTCCAGCAGCCAATGGGAGAGAGGCAACGTGTTGCTCTTTTTGCTCATGGGGAATCTCGTTCATGCCTTCAGTGAACCGAGTCTGTAGAGATTGAGGATCCTCGAATCTTGTGATAAAAGTGTGATACGACGCGAGAGGGAACGATGAAGGTCATTCTGGCGCTGTTTTCGGTGTTCCTGGTCGGCCGTTGTGCGGAGCCGGACCCGGAACTCAAGATCGAAGTCGTTTTCAAGCCCGAGGAATGCGAGAGGAAAACGGTGGAAAAGGACATGCTGACCATGCATTACACGGGAACCCTGGAAGACGGAAAGGAATTCGACTCGAGTTACAAGCGGAATCAGCCGTTTTCCTTCCAGATCGGCGTGGGACACGTCATCAAGGGATGGGAGCAGGGACTCTTGGACATGTGCATCGGAGAGAAGCGGAAACTCATCATTCCACCTCATCTCGGGTACGGCGAGGCCGGTGCAGGCGACGTGATCCCCGCGGGTGCGACCCTCTACTTCGAGACGGAGCTGCTGGAGATCGGCGACGCCCCGCCGATGCAGAACATCTTCAAGGCGATCGACTCGAACGACGACCAGCAGCTCTCCCGCGAGGAGGTCGTGGACTACATCAAGAAGGAGATGCCGGCGGATGTGAGCAGCGGCGACCAGAACCCGGACATCATCACCGAGGAGATCTTCCAGCACGAGGACAAGGACCACGATGGATTTATCAGCTATGAGGAGTTCAGCGGGCCCAAGCACGACGAGCTGTGATGCTCGAGTTCGTTTACTGGTGCATTTTATCTCGTCCTGGAATTCCCTAGCCCTTCTGCATTCGTGAGATACTCGTGCCTTAGTGTGTAGGCCAAATGCCTGTTCCTGTAAAAGCACTGGCTTCCAAAGTGGGATACGTCTAGCTAGGCGTAGGCCGAATGTTTGTATCTGGCCTGTGGCCAGTTGATTTGATTTTATAGGCAAGCATTTTTCAATTCACACTTCATTATTTTTAAACCAAATTTGTACTCGAGTAGTATGAAATCATTCCAAGTTTGTGGTACGTGTGGCATGGTGGATATCGAAATTGGAGGCCTCGGCTCAGACGAGAGAAACTCTGTATTGAAACTTGTATCGTTGAAAACCTTTGTGTTATCGTTTACCCATTCGGGGCTGCCACCGATGAACATCTCATATAAATATGTGCAGTGAATGTAGTGGGGAACTTCAGGGAATGATAGGCATGGAAGGGTTTGTTTTCAACAAAGGTGAAACTTAAAGCATTTCAGGATTTGCAGTTTTGATTATCTATACCCATTTGTACCAGTAATATGGGTCAGGATTCATTTTACAAGTAGAATGGTTAAGCCTAAGCCCTTTTGTCATTCTTTCACAGGGTAGAAAAGATCCCTCGGATCACTAGCTCGTATTTCCACACAGAGGCCAAGCCGAGGGAGTCGTTCCGAGGCAGGATTAACATAGAATCTCCTTCCTGGTATCTCAGCGAGTGACTCAAAGCCGTACGATTTCTTCTTGTCACGTGCCCCATTGTCTAGGTTAAGAGAGGATGCTCAACATCATTTCTATACGAGTATTGGTGCTGATGTAGTTAATTCATGTCTAGCAAAGTAGCTTCCATCCCTAGATGCAAGCCGTGTGGCTTGTTGTAGGTAGACAGCAAGACAGTGGAAGAGAAGGTTCTCTTGGGTTTTGGCTATGTAAGAGCTTTATGACTATTTTTACTTCATGTGTTGGGGTTTTTTGGGATCTCTTTCAAGTGTGATTTCATTTATCGTTCTTTTGTGTTGGTTGTGTCCAGAAAATTTTAATTCTGCATTATAGAAGCTTTTTTTTATTCCCAAAATTCTCTTATTTATGAAGTCGGTGTTGTGGGTGCAGAAGCGTTTTGCTATGCTTGATCCGAATGGGAATTTGCAATTTCTGGGTCTGCACCCAGCATTTCCACCAGCCCGTCTCTCGAACGTCTTCCTCGTTCCGTTTCGGTTGTGCCGCTGTACTCGATGTGTCGTGCAACGTGGTGACGGGTTGCACTGAAAATATGCATTTTATGTACTCTTGAATCCTGTTTTACATTGTTGAAGCGCAGAGCATGTTATGTTTCCAGATGTTTGATGATAATAAATCACATCTTCATGCCTCGCTCGTGTTTCGTTCGGAAATGAAACGACGGACAGGTGACTCAACAGCTGTGTACTGTTGGGAAAAAAAAAACACTCAAGCAATGAGAGTCTCAGGTACTATCTTCACCTGAATCTCCACTTATAAATCTGGGAAAAAAACAGTACTGGTAAAACTATGCACACCTCTTGACAGAAAGCAATAAATTAACTAAAAAAAAAGGTTAGATCCAGAGAACTACAGGAGACGAATTCAGAACTGCATGGCATCTTCAAGGAAGTTGTTCAACTCCTTTGCATACTGGTGCTTGCTTCCGGTGGCTGGGGAAGCGCTAGTCGGCCGTCCGATGAAGCTGAAACGGGAAGCAAAAGTGACATACTTTATCCATACAGTTTAATTGCACTTCAATTTTTCTTCTCACACAATGTTCAATTGCATATGGACCTTTTTGAAAACCATGCAATAGGATTCCTTTCCTCTTTAATCAGTGAATCCAAAGGACTGAACGATGAGAAGGGCTTTCGCAATGGCAAATTATTCTTCCCCGCATGGGAAACAAAAATTGGCACATGCAGGTATCCTCTCCCAGATAAGCCAAAGACAGTTTCATATGAAAGTAGCTTGATCCTATAGTGAATGTGTGAAACTCAACAATCCCAGGCATTGTTTCCAAGCCAGATGGTTAGAAATAAAAAGATTTCCAACAAGATTGTTATTTGCTACTACTGAAAGGAAAGATAATACAATGGGTAAGTCCATGGATAAAGCTTCCACACATTTAAAAAGTGGGAACAACAGGAGAAGGAATAGGCTGACACCCATTATAAAAAAAAGTACATTGACAAGAGACAAGAATTTCATACTCCCCTTAAATGTTGGTCCTCTGGGTCCAACATTGGACCATGTCAATCTCTCTATGCTTTGTGTGATCATTTAATGCCATTCACATTTCTTATGCAAATTTGACTCAATTCCAAACAAATAAGTAATGGGAGCCAAAGTAGTTGCATGTCATTCTGGAAATCTCGTTTAGTAGGTGATAGGTTCAATGAAGGAATTGCAATATTCTCAGGGAATATGATTGTGGTATGCCAATTCAGCATAAAGAGAGGATGCAAGGAAATCACCTGATGGTCTTGAGGCCAGACAGAGCCGTGATGACCCTGGGCTGAACAAAGAACCAGGCCCCCTGGTTCTTGTGTTCCTCCTGCACCCAGGCAATTTCGGCGTTTTGGAAACGTTCAACTTCTTTTCTCACCATGTCAAATGGAAATGGTGTCAACTGCAACAAGGACACTTCAAGTATGATGCACCGTGATCACTATGATACACCGATCGTGTGATAAGAGGAGGGCCGAACCTGTTCGATGCGAGCGATGGCAATCTTATCTTCGAGGTTTCGTTCGCGCCTTACTTTGGTCAGGTCGTAGTAGACCTTCCCCGAGCAAAAGATGAGCTTCTTCACGTTGTCAGGATCCTCCTTTGCCTTTCCTGCCTCGGATAACACTCTGCACGAGAGAATCCAATACCTGTCAGCTCATTGCAGGATGGAGATGCCCTCTAGGTGAATCGACTCACCTTTGGAATTCAGTACCCTCTTTCATTTCATCAAAGGAGGACTTTGCCTCGGGGTGTCTCAGAAGGGATTTCGGCGTCATGCAAATGAGGGGCTTCCGGAAGGGGAGTGCAATCTGCCGACGCAAAATGTGGAAGTAGTTGGCTGGGGAAGTGCAATTTGCCACCTGCAACCAAAAATTCCCATTAACAAATGGTAAGACAAATAATTAAGAACAATAATAAAAAAGTATGACAGCCACGCATAGGAAATTGAGTTCATGAATGCATTCTGACTACAGGCAGAACAAACATAAAAGTTCACTTGAAGAAAAAAATTATAATACCAATATTTAAAGAAAAAATAGCAACAAGAACAAGAACTGAATATGGTATTGAGTCCTGCTGATGACCAGGCTATCAAAGGTAAAAACTTACAATCCAGTTGGTATCATGTAGCTGTCTTATGGCAAATTCTTCTGTCTCAGGAGGATAATACTCAGGGTCTTCAGAGCTCATCTGCAAGAAGCGTTCCAGTCTGGCACTGGAATGCTCTGGGCCCTAGAACAGAAACCAACCCAAGTGCGAGATGAGCCGAAGGAGAAGCCGATGGAGAAAGTGTCGAGAGATTCTGTCAAGACTGACCATCCCCTCCATGCCATGAGGGAGGAGGACGACAAGGCCAGACTGTCGCACCCACTTGGTTTGCCCACTGGAAACAAACTGGTCAAAAATGCACTGTGCATTATTGGAGAAGTCTCCAAACTGGGCCTCCCAGCACACCAGTGCATTCGGATTTGTCATCGAAAATCCCAGCTCAAAACCTAAACAAGTACAAATAGCACAATTGCATGAAAAGACAAGAAAGTTTCCTTCACTGACTTGTAGAGTTTAAAAACAATAAAATAGTCACTCATACTTCTCCTTCCCCATAAAAATAAACTCCACTTTGTATAACCTTATTGCAGTATGTTTTCACTGATTTCATTTTGGAAGGAATCAATTGAAACAAACTGAAATAAAGCAAGACTCTCCCTACATTAGGTTCACATTTTGTAAGCAGAATTACAGGGCAAGGCAGGTCATAAGTATTCAAATCAAATTGAAGACTTGTATTTCCTTTGCAAACAATTTCCTCTAGAGTCTCATGGGGGTATTTGATGGAACTTCAGTAGAAACTTCATCCACCATATCCAATTTAAGTCGGATTATTGGTGTTTTGATTAAGAAGGGTTGACAATATCATAGTGCTCCTAAAAAAATTTGCTTCATTATTTGTACTCCTGCCATAAGAACTAAACTGTTATCAACTGGACATAAAATACTTATATTTCAAACCAATATGGTTGATGCTGGCATGTTCAGGCATCAATGTGGTCACTTACCAACATGGTTCAGTTCTTGGAAATATTCATGCCAATACGTCAAAGCTATTCTCTCAGAGTAGCAATTTAAGTGAAACAGAGAAAACTTACATTTGAACAATATTTCATCAGTTCATCAATATATATCTGATTAATGAGTACCTACATTCAATCCCTCATCCCTTTTTGAGTTAAAAAAACAAAAGGTTATAAAAATTATTTTGATCCAAAGTATCTCAGTAAGTACTCACCCAATACAGCAAACTCTGATAGGGAGCTGTTGCAGATTGTATATGGAGCCTGGTCAGGGTAAAGATACTGCAGGGTGCAATACGTGGCCTTGTCCACCTTCTGGTGATGCAGCACATGATGCCGGTGACTGTAACACATTCCAGAGCACATCTCAAGTCACTACCATCTTACTATGTCAGCCATCTATGTCAATAATGCATAACTGGAACTTCAACACTAACTTGAACTCAGTATTTTAAGATAAGGGAAATAAAACTCATAGTTTGAACATGGCAGACTCAGAAAGCACTTATACAATGCCAATTATACTTCTCATGTATTTGTCCCCTGCATGATGACAATGTGGAGAACCCTGTCTTTTTGCGCATTTGACAGGGCACTGAAGTCTTGCAGCAACATGGAACATTGAAAAATTTTACCTTGCCCAAAGAAATCAACAATGAACAAGTATGATTCCTACTGTAGTCAAACAGGACCATTTTAGATCTGATTCTTTGGACATGAGTGCAAGTCAAACTTAAGCATTATTACAATTTTTACTTTTTTATTATCAGACCTTTCAGTGGGGATCTTCTATGTTTCACACACCATTGGACCACAATGGAAGTGAATAAGTAAAATGGATGCTTCAGGGTTTCCTCAAGAAATTACCATGGATTGCATGATTCTCTTTCAATATTGAAAACCAGAACAGAACATGAGAATTAAAATATTACTAAGAATTGATGACCAACTTATAACAATCATGTATTGAAAATAGACGATTAGTTAATTGTGTCAGGTATTCCCAGAGAAACTAATTCATTGGGATGAAAATCCATGTCAGTCTTTATCCTTGGTGATGATTACAATTACTACTGAAAGTCTTATAGGTAAGAAAATCTTTGGTTTTTTTCCATCATAACCTATATCATGAGCAAGAATGAAGTTCGCAAAATGAACAGGGTACCTGAATCATGCCAATCATTGAGTAATAACTACCAGAGCATTTGCTCTCCACATTTTGTCTGTATTTCTCACTTTCAAATTGTATTCCAGCAAATGGAAATGGAAAAGGTCAGCTAAAATTGATTAGGAAGAAATTCTTCCTAATCCATTCAGAAATTCATAAATGCTTCCCTAGAGTATTCATGGATTCTTATACTGAAGGACTCTCTTAGCACATAGCAGTGGTCATATTATGAATGGAATGAAAAAGAGCTGATGGTGGATTGATCTACCTGAAGGTGCCTCGTTCGACGTCCTGACCAGACACCCTGACGTGGATACCTTCTTTCAGTAGAGAACCGAAAGCCATCGCCTCTGCCAAAGCCCAGTCGGTCGTCCGCTCCTTCACCATGTCCATGCGGGCACTCAAAATCCTCTTCAGACCTGTTTTTCCAACAAATCACATAATGAGATGCAGAAATATAAGAGGAATTACTTGCCATCTTTTATTTCAGTTTCCTTTCACATCATGAAACAACATAATTATAGAACATGAGTAAACATGATCATTGCATCATTGGAGAGGTTGCACTTCATTGAGGGTTGGTTGCAAGACCGAACAAATACGGGTATTAAGTTGCTTGGGAGACTGGGTAAGGAACACATGGACTAAATACCTCTTACAGGCAAATGCCCATGGGAAGATTTCAATGTTCACAACTGATGACAATTGACTCTGTAGGGAATTTTCACACTCTTCACACCTGCCGCTCATAAACCAGCATGCAGACATATGGGCAACAGCACTGGTTGGTTAAACAAGTTCTCTTAACACTTTTCTGCAGGAAGACCAGATATGTTTGAAGGCAAGTACCCCGTGCAAAAAATCCAAAATGACATAGTTGCTTGAGACAAAATGCAACATCATATCAAAGTATGAAGCATTTTGTTTTCAAATCATCCCATCAAAATATTTCCCTGATCTCTTTAGCAATGCATAAATTGTTTTTATGTGCTTGGGACTGACATGAATGACAGCTACTTTCAAGAGGTCTCCCAGTACAAATCTGATTCCATTTCAACTAAATACTGCAATTCATAAAAAAAAATTCACTTAGTAAAATATTTGTGAGATTGAAATATCCTCATAATCAAAAATATAATTTTCACAATTTTTTTATATTTAACAAAACCTCATAAATGCTAGTTTCACAATTTCCTGAAGGCAAAAAAAAGGCCTTTGCATGAAATATGTCAAAGATATCTTGCCCAGCTGAAAATGAATGAAAATGGCACAACTCTACTGAGTAGCAAGCTGACTCGACTCTTGAAAAACTGCTGATGGGTTTAAAAAATGAGGATACGAGGGCACTTGGCTGTGGCAGGGTTTCTCTGATTTGCATTTTTTGTACTGTGAATGTGACTCTGTGAATATGCTCCAGAGATGGGAAAATTTGAGCCACAGGTGAAAATTCACATTGGAATTGTTTCATGTTCTGCTAATTGCAAATATTTTTCAAACTACAGAATACATATTGCTTCCATGCCTTCCATTCAACACAATTGGCTAGGGAAACAGAGGGATCACCATATTTGAACCAATTCATAACTTCAATATACTGTACTGTATTGTAAAAACATACTGAAAAGACAAAAAAAGCCTTTTTCTATACATATGGAAGGTGGCAAAACACAATTTTTTTCACCTCATTCCAACTGGATATTGAACAATCTTATGATTAATATCATTTGAGACTCTCATTTACCTTTCTCACCTATAAAGGAGAAAATACAAGGTCAGAATACATCGTCAGAATCCATTCCACAGAGAATATATTTATGAATAACACTTGAAGAAGGCTGTTGCTTCTGTTCACATGCCAATCTTTCACTAAAAAGATGCTTTTCATCGTCATTCTACAGCACCCGGCGGCTAAAAAGATAAAGTAAGAAAGGAGAAGACATTGCTCTTTTTACTGAAGCCCCTATTTTACCAGATGACTCCTACAGCCTACCAGTATAAGGAAATCATCCAAAGCAAGCATAGGTTGCAAAAACTCAAATGTTGCTAAGGAGATTGGCAAAAGTCCAGGGCACATACCCTAACACCCTGGGCCACCTCATCCTTCGGCACTGCAACCGCAAAGATGCCGCAATGCACAACAATATAAAGCAAAACATTTCATCATATCTGCATGCGATGCTGATGACTTCTCATATGTCAATTAGACCAAACTCCAGAATAACTTTTTATCCTGCCTGCCACCAAAAATAATTAAGGTTCTTTCAAGATCTGCATGGTGAATTTATCCAAGCAAAAACTCAATATTTAACTCTGTATTTAACCCTCCATGCCCAGAATTTTTTCATGTGGGAAAAAATGTAACTGGTGACTCAATTTTAGTAATATTAATCTAAATGAGACCAAAAACCTTTATTAGTACAACTAGAGTGTGATTTCAAAGATACATTGAGTCACAGTGGTGTAGCAATAAAATTACACATGATGCAATCTAATTTTCAGTCTGTTACTATGATTGGGATATAGAGGGTTAAATTATGCAGTTATTGTCACAAGATCTAGTTGACTGCCGAAAATTCTAAAATTCTTCACACTTTCTAATGTATCCATGAATTGCAATCATATTAACAGATTTTTCTTTTTTGTAAAATGTTCTTGTTAGTTATTGATCATCTGTTATTTAATTTTTAAGTATTTCTCCACAATACATTGAGAGTTTAGAGCATCTGGATGTGATTTGTGGCAATCTATAATGGCTAGGGATTATTTCATAAGAGTTGCCATAAGAGCTTTGGAGAATTTTACTGAAAAAAATTACCAACTAGATATACTGATAACTAGTCCCCACAGGCCCATTCCATATAGCCTCCTATAACTAATGACATTTCCCCATCTGTGAGCCAACTGCTTGACCCTTCATATCCGTGTGTCATACACCGTACGACTGGCTGCCCCACGGCATCCCACGGCATATCCCACGGCATATGCGCCTCTCCTGTTGAGAATTTTAAAAATATTTGGAAAATTTGATAGTGTCATCTGAAAGATGGAACTCCAAACTCAAATCCCAAATTAAAAGCCAATAACAATTACAGAAGTTAAGGTCATTTAGGTAATGCTTTCTCATAACTTAAATCATAATCTCCTCCAGAATCAGGCTTTGGAAATGGATTTAAATCCCACAGCACTGAAAGGTTAAAGCCAGAAAGAAAAAACTCCATAGGTATATAACAAAAGGAGGAAATTTCTGTCAGCAAATCACCCCTCAATTAAAAATGGCTTACAAGCCTTCAGAATATATATAT